TGTATTTTTAAAAGACATAAGTTTTTGTCTGTGAAATAACAAGCTTTTAAAGTGCAAACTGAGGTTGCTACGACCTTCTGAAGTAGAGGCATCTCTACCCCGAAAATCAGGTTTTTTCGGTTGAAAATGATCGAGAAATTTCGAACTTTGTCGGTTGAAAATCACCAGGAAATGCCGGATTTTTTGGGCGTTTCTTGATATAGTCTTTAAGAAAACGTCGAAAAAATTGCACGTGTTGGCACTTTCCTCCTCTTTTTCAACATCACCCATATCAAAACCCCCCAAAAAAATCCGACATTTCCTGGTGATTTTCAACCGAAAAAAAGCAATTCAAAAGTAGCTGGACTGGTACTTTAGAGGGTAAAGAAACTGTGCCCCAAACGACCAGACCACCAAATATGGTCTGTCGGGAAAACAGTGTTAGGTCGCCGCGCCTTGGAATCGCCAATCACAGTCGCTTTGCGACGGCAAGTTGCAGCTGGAGACGTGGTTTGCGGTTGTCCTTTTCTTTCGACAAAGCGAAACATTTTGCTGCGAAAACCCGCCACTATTTTCAAGAAAGACTGATGAGCTTAGTTTAGGCATAGGTTTAGGCGCTGACAATTGCTATAATACGAAATTTAACGGTCTTATTTACGTCTTTACTGCGTGAAAAGTTCAGTCGCTTATGGTTTCATCATTTCAGGCAGACCTCTAAATTGTAGGACAGCTCTCATTTTAATATGTAATTTATAACTCACCAAAGCTCAAATAGCTATAATTACATTATTTGTACTATGCAAGAAAACTTTAAAGCAACATCCAACTTTAACAGATGCACTTGAAACCTCAAATTGCACAATCTTGGGCCAAAGTACATGGCCAGACCGTTTACTAAGCCCCCTTTCTTCGGCATGACTTTTGAACATTCACAAGTACACCTGCCATTAAAAAAATTAATGGACCATACATACATGTAAGTACATGTAAGAAGGTTAAAACCAGAAAATCAGCTCTAATCTTCTTGCCCGGACGTTCGTTGTCTCGCTCCGCCAAATGTCGTCATTTTCCTCTGGGAAACGCATCAGTTCGTCGGGAAAATAATGAGCGCCCTGTCGCATCGGAAATCGCATCGTCGACAAATCAAAAGAGACCGTGATATCGGTCTGTCGGGAAAATAATGAGCACTTGGACGCATCTAAAATTGTATCGCCGTAGTGAAAATGAATTGTGTTGCAGCAAAATCAAATTGCTTTTCACTTCAGCAACGCGATCGGCGCAGCAACTTTGAGCTCATTATTTTCCCGACAGAGTGACATCAACTATGACAAGGCGAGCCAGAAATTCTTGACATGTTTTCCCATCGTGCGGCCAGCGTCGCGAAGCGGCTTTGCGCGACAAACAATCCGCGCAGTGCGAGTGAAAAATGCACTGTGCAGTTCTAGCATTTTTCGAAAGCATTCGTTTTGCGCCGTGCGGGGTCCGTATGCACCGTGAATTTTATTCGCCGCCATGCGACAAGCTTTTCGCGCAATCGCGCACAGGGCAAACATGTCAAGAATTTTTGAACAGATTATCACTCGTCGGGAAAATAATGAGTACCCTGTCGCATCGAAAGTCGCATTACCGCCGAGAAAATGAATGTGTCGCGACAAAATCAAATTTCTTTTCACTTCAGCGACATTGTGCTCATTATTTTCCCGACAGACTCACAAAGTTCCTCAAAAATACGAGGGTTGAATCTGAAAAATCTGCAGTTGCAATGCCCATCTAGACCCCCCCCTAAAATGAGCGCAAAAACCTACCGTAGTTTCCAATGGGAGACGTGATGAAACTGCCGGCAATAAGTCTGAATACGGATTTATTATAGAAAAATATGGCGTTATCCACGTCGCCGGAGGTCAAATACAACCGTGTTATTTTTTTCTTTACGGGAAAGCTCATCGCTTCCCCGACAGACTGATAATAGTATTTCAAATAACACCAAAAAATGAAATTTTGTACAAAACATCAGCTATGGCTTACAAAAAACAGAGTAAACTTTTACAGTGCGGATTAAAATCGCCTGAAATTTACCCTCCATTATGAAGGGCAAAATCCGAAAAAAACTAAGGGATATTTGGCCAAAAAATGTAAGGAGATAATCCCCGAGGCCTTGTGGTTTGTGTGAAGTACCGGAAATTAATCGACAACCGCCAATTCAACTGCTTTAAACCCCGCTTCAAGTTGGCTGTAAATAGCAAGAGTAAGATAATATAAAGCAGGCTTAACACGTCTAATCCCTCCCTCGTTTCCGCTAAAAATGATGCCAGCGGGTTATTTACGGCACAAAAAAATGAGGTAAAAATGCAATAACAACGGAGTGGTGGTTGCATGTAAACATACAATAACTTTACTAATTGCTGTCTGACAAGTGTGTTAGAACGAATGCACACGTAATTTTGGGGCAATATGGGGCTTTACGCGTGAGGCAATCATGGAGGTTTTTTGAGGTCTTTGGAGGAAATGGCTTACAGGGGAACTACCCCAAAAGCGACGCTCAGATTTTCAAGAAACTTGGTACAAATTTACAGGGGAAGTACTCCAAGTGCGACGCTCAGATTTTCTTTAAATTTTGCACACACGTCGGGTATGGACTAAATATCAATTCCTGAAAGTTTTAGCTCGCGCTTTGCGGGCGCCGCCGAGATATCGAACGATTTTTGCCGCCGAGAGAGCACGCTAAAAGTGGAGAGCGGTCAGAGAGAAGAGCGCTTTTTGGCCATAACTTTGGCAGTTTCGTGCGGAAAAATTTGATTTTTTGTAGAAACATTATCCTTTACAGTAGAAAGATGCATGAAACTTTTCGTGCCGAAATTCCGCAAAAGGTCCTAAATTTTCGCCGAGTTTCGATCTAAACTCGGTTGTTTCTGCAAAGCGCAAGTTAGGATTCTCGCATATATCTTAGAAAAAATTATTCTAAATTTGTGCCAAGTTTCATCAAAATGTGAGCGTCGCACTTGGAGTACTTCCCCTGTTGGAAAAAAAAAGTGTTTTTCTCTCTGGCCGCTCTCCACGTTTAACGTACTCTCTCGTCGGAAAAGATCGTTCAATATTTCGGCGGCGCTTTCAAATCGAGGGCTAAAACCTTCAAAAATTGATGTAATTTTTGCCAAAAAAAATGATATGGTAAGGGAGGACCAAGGCGGATATTTTTAAAATAATTTTTTTTAATTTCCCTAAAAAATGATATGGTACGAGGGGACCAACACGGATATTTTTAGAATGACCAAAATCCCCTTTCCCCTTTTCGAATCCAACCAAAAATAATACGGGATTACTTGAAGTTTGGCTTACCGATGCGACAAAAAAAAAGACTACATTTCGGCCAATTATTGGCTAAACTACGGATGAGGATCTTAACTCTCTCTTTGCATTAGCCACAAAAAATTTTATTCCAGTCGGTCGAGAAAATAACGCCGGGTCGTCGCAGCAAAATGTCTCGCCTCGTCGCAGTCGCGCACCAAAACCGTAGCCGTCGCAAAGCGATGATGAGCGATTCCAAGGTGCGACGACCGCCGTTATTTTCCCGACAGACTGATAATGAAAAAGATTGAAAAATATTGGAAAAAGTTCCTTATTTTGGCCACAACAAAGGTACTCCGCGAACTGCGCCCATGCTTGGGCACTAAAGTTAGGAAAAAACGCTTCGACCTAGCTGACACTGAATTACTATAATAGCTTTATAGTTTTAAGGGTACCTACGAAGGCTGTGACGGCTCATTTAGTTCCATACGGAGTCAATAAGTTTAGTTCGGGACATGTTTCATCGTATAAAGTGTAAAATCACAGGCTGCAGCCGTTTTTGAAAGGTAACATGGTACGTAAAAAAAGAAGGTACTTCACTAACTAAATCCACTGTCCGGGCATTGACAACGATGAATTGAGCGTGCACGCTAAATTTGGGCTAATTACGACCAGTTTCCGCAAAGTTATAAGTTGTGGCCAAAATAAGGAACATTTACCAAATATAAGCGACACCCGAAAAACGCCTATCGCACAGTGCAAGGTGAACTTTCGTTTTCTCACAGCGCATGTCGCAGAAATCACTCCAGCGACTTTGCGAACGGACTAGCCCTATGTAAAAGCGTACTTAGATTATAATATACATATACCTAAGCATATAAAAAGTTAAATAAATGTTGTCATATTCGATAATAAACATAATAAAACACCACCGCAATGAGAAGAAAGTAATTTGTCGTTGCGTGCTCTGTGTTAACAAGGAAGTATACCAGTGTAATGTAATAAAGTCACAAAGCACAATTACCTCGTTGGATTACTCAAAAATGGCTAATATTTATTGCCTTGGCCAACGAATAAATATTTATTAAAATGAGCAAAAATTTCATGTCCAAAACAAACGGCGAATTGCCAAGGGAAGCATTTGATGTGCGACACAGAGATTATCTTTACATATAGGGATCGCAAAGCTACTTTTGAATCGCGTTTTCTACGGTTTGGGAAATAAAAAGTCAAAAAAAGTTTCGTAAAAAAATTCGATAAAGTATCAGATTTTTCTGTCGGGAAAATAATGTGGATCTGTTACAACAAAATGTCCCAGTTGCACACCAAATCTCAAGCCACGGCTATGCGTCGCAAAGCGACGGCTAGAATCCATGACACGAGGAATCCACACTATTTTCCCGACAGACTGATACTACGCTTTTTCAAGAATGGGTAGACTTTTCGTCGCAAAGCCAAAAAAGCGCCAAATCGTGGCCAATTTTTGGACAAAAAATCTCGGTTTTCCATGAAAAGCATGTCTTTGGAATTTCGCGTTTATCTTGAAAAGAATCAGTCTTAATGTTGCCAGGTTTGATTAAAATCTGGCCGTCGCACTATACACACTTCCCTTGCGAAAATAACTGAGAAAAAATACAGTAATCAACAAAATTCTATTAGAAACATGGCCTAGAAATCGCTGTGAAAATCGTTGTCCAACAACGGCATTCTTCGTCAAACGCGAAACACCATTTTTCTCATCCCTTTCGTTTGTTGACATTCTCCATAGCGGCGTGAACTCGGAAGAGTAGTTTATTCTCCAACGAGTAGCCCTTATACTGTTTCACTTTGTTCAGCAGGCCCTCCGCCTCTGTCAAGTTGTTTTGAGCGAAACGGATTTGAGACAGCTCGAACGTCGAGTTGGGGACGAGATAAAAGTTGTCGGTCAAGCGGGGCTCACTGAAATTCCAATCTTTTTTATTTTTGACATTTTTTTAGGTATATCAGTCTGTCGGAAAAATAACGGTGGATTGTCGCAGCGAAATGTCTCGCCTCGCCGCTGTCGCGCACCAAATCCCGAGCCGCGGCTTGCAGTCGCAGAGCGATGATGGGCGATTCCGAGGCGCGACGATCCGCCGTTATTTTCCCGACAGACTTATACTTGTCACGATTTTTTATGATGGCTTGCAAACCGGCCTTGCGATTTTCGGAACGACCTGGGCCTAACAGTCTGTCGGGAAAATAACGAGCACTCTGTCGCGACATGTCGCATAGAAAATCGCATCGCCGCCGAGAAAATGAATTGCGTCGCAGCGATAATTTTTTGAATCTTGGAGCGATGTACAGTGGCGGACTTGATCCAGTACCAAAAAACATAACATTTTGCATCCGGGAAGTATCAAAAAATGTGGCAAAATACCTCCTTCTCCAAGTGACAAAATTTCTTTTTGCAGGGCGCCGCGCCCTTTCCCTCATAAAAATGGCGGGCGCGCTTTTAAAATCGGAGTTTTTTCACTTGGAGAGGGAAGTATTTTGCCACATTGTTTGATATTTCCCGGATGCAAAATGGTACGTTTTTTGTCACTGTGTCAGGTCCGCCATTCTACAGAAGGCTTTCTCGGCTTGAAAGACTAGACATATAACAGGTTTTCCTCGAAAGAGACCCCGAGTTGAAAGAGACCCCGGAATCGGGGTCTAAGAGTAAAAATTTGGCCTTTAGGCGTTAGTGGTGTTGTTCTGTTGCTCAGTACCGCTATTTTCACCTTGTACTACATAGTACCAGACAGTACTAAAAGGTACCAGTTATTTAAAACGTGTTTTTGAGGAGTACTAAGCATCAAAACAACACCATTAACGCCAAAAGCCATATTTTCACCTCGTACTGTATAGTACCAGATAGTACTATAAAGAAGAAAGGCAACATGATTTTCGAAATCAGCACCCTCGATAACCCCTAAATCGACTATTTTTAGAAAAAATTCAAAAAATTACTTTTTAACATTACTACTTAAGCAAAAAAGTAAGAATCAGAAAAAACGAATATGATTTTTGGAATCTACGCCATCGATTACCCTTCGGGGTCTCTTTCAACTCCGGGTCTCTTTCGATGGCTTTCCATATAACACAATAAGTCTGCTCATTGACTTACTTCTGGATGACCTTGAAGAAACAGCTCTCCGCTTTCTCCAGCTCTCCCAAAGCCCTGTAGCAGACTCCTCGAAGAAATTCATAAACAGACAAGTCATTTGGGTCCTCTAGAATGGTAAAATACGATGTGGTTCGGAATGAAATGATATAAATTCATACCAGTTGGATTCTCCACTTTATACTGCTCAATGTTGCTCAAGATCTCCGGGATAAACGCCTGAGGTCGGGCTTCCAAAATGGTGAAGACATTCCAAAAGTAGAGGAACTCGTAATGCGCCAAATACATGCGGTTCTCGGCCAGGAATCGCTTCGACTTTCGCTCGCAAAACTTCTCGATCGGAATCGATTTTCCGGCGATTCGCAGGCGAATGTTTGGGATTTTTCGACACAGCAGTCTCCAGGTTGCTTCCGACTCGGGACCCCGATCATAAGCATTAATGTAAATGGCCAATAAATACGTGTAGACGCATCTCGACCAACGAGACTCGTCTTTCAGCCGTTTACAATGGTTGGCCGCCCAATCCCAGCGGCCGAGCATTGCGTAGGCAAATCTGAAAATTTGAGGAGAGAAGTCAGCAAAAAAAATTTGTTTTATTGTTAGTCTGTCGGGGAAATAATGAGAACAATGTCGCTGGGTCGATCGCGTCGCTGAAGTAAAAAAAATGATTTTTCCGCGACACAGTTCATTTTCTCGTCGGCGATACAACCAACTTTCGCTGCGACAGAATGCGCATTATTTTCCAGACAGACTCGTAGCTCACTGCCTCGAGCTTCGCTGTACGAAGGTCTAAAATTGACCATCTCCACCAACGAATTTGTTTGTTATCAACCGGCTTCGTTCTACAGAAGATATCGAACGATCTTTACAAGTGAATGTGAAAAATGTAGAGAGCGGTCAGTGAGAAATTTTTTTTTCGTCAGCCAATTTCTGGTGAAAAAAAATGTCCCGGGGCTAAGGTAGTACAGCCCCCAGTCCAGTTTAGCCCCCCATGACCCCCTCGTCCATTCTGAACCCCAAAATTTATTTCAAAGAATTAATCCAAGTTGTATGGTCCAGAACAAGCCCCCTACGTTTTAGATCAAGCCCCCTACGATTTAGATGAAGCTCCCTACGTTTTAGATCAAGCCCCCTACGTTTTAGATCAAACCCCCAACGTAGTAGATCAAACCCCCACTTACATTTTTTGTATTATTCTAATTTGTTCATTATGTGGGGTGTGAAACGGGCAAAACAGTGGGGGTTTGAACTACCTTTCGTGGGGGGCTCAACTACCGAAGCCCCAAAATCCCAGCTTTTTTTCGGACTAAAAATTGCGGTTTTTTTAATGAAAAGCGAGTGTTAAAAATCGCTCTCCGAAAAATATTTTCTAAGTTTATCAGCCTGTCGGGAAAATAACGAGCATTCTGTCGCATCGAAAATCGCATCATCGCCGAGAAAATGAATTGTGTCGCGACAAAATCAAATTGCTTTTCATTTCAGCGACATTGTGCATATTATTTTCCCGACAGACTGATACACAAAGTTCCTTAAAAATACGAGGGTTGAATCTCGAAAATCTTCAATTGCTATATCACCCAGACTTTCCCCAAAATAAATAAATAAAACCAAAACTTACTGTAATTCCCAATAGCAGACATGATGAAACTGTCGGTAATAGGTCTGGCATTGAATGGATTTATTATAGAAAAATATGGCGTTATCCACGTCGCCGGAGGTCAAATAAAACCGTGCACGAAGAAACAAAATAATGGCACCATTCGGGTACAAGAAATTGAGGTCGTGAAAGAGCCGGGTACACAGCCGAGTATTCGGTTTTCCTTCGCCAATAAAGAAGTTGACGAACAATTCCCAAGTGATCAGTTGAAGAGAGCACATTGTGGAGCTGAAAAATAGGAATTGTAAGCAAATTTTGCCTAACATTTACAGGTACTATCAATCTGTCGGGAAAATAATGAATCCAATCGCGTCGCTGAAGTAAAAAAAGCTATTTTGCCGCGACACAATTCATTTTTCCCTGCGGCGATGCGATTTTCGATGCGACAGAGTGCTTATTATTTTCCCGACAGACTGATAATCCGTTCGCAAAGTCGTTGGGGCGATTTTCGGCGTTTGCGAAGAAGTCAGGGCGACTTTGCGAAACAAATGCCCATGCACTTTATAAAAATACAATCAGGCTGTCGGGAAAATAATGAGAGCTCTCGGGCTACGCCCAAGACGCGAGCTGCGCCCATGCAAGTTCTCCGAGCTGCGCCCTATGATTTTCAGCAAACTTTCAGATAGCGCATTGGCTCCTGGCCTAAAAGTCTGTCGGGAAAATAATGAGCCCTCTGTCGAATCGAAAATCGCATCGCCGCCGAGAAAATGAATTGTATCGCGGAGAAAATCAAATTTTTTTTCACTTCAGCGAAAAAATGCGGCATTATGCTCATTATTTTCCCGACAAACAGATACTATAGTACCTGTACAACGCTTTTTCAGCGTAGTAGTCAGAAAAATGCGCCATTGGCATTCAAAGCGCCAAAAAAAAATTTTTTTTTGATCCTCTCCCCTACAGGCCTTGTTAGTTAACTATAGTTCCCCTCCTACCGTAATGTATGCGTCATGCTGGCCACTTTCAGCAAATTATTCATTCCATGGGCTCGATTTCCATTGAATCCGATGACCTGCAGCAATTTCAACAACTTCCCCGGCAACACCGACAACGCCACATTGAAACTTCCGAGGCCCAAAAGAACGCCGGATTCGAACTCGTCTCGCATTTTCTGATCTCTGCTTGTCCAGGCTTGCGAATTCAGGATACGGTAGCACTCTCTGTACGACATGAAACAGGCCCGGATTTTGAACGCGCCCTTGATGAAACTGGCCAAACTTTCGTCGTAGAAAAAGGTGAGGGCGGCGCTGAAATAGGCTAGGAAATATAGCGCATAATTCCGAGTGCGACGCTCAGAGTTTCTTTGAATTTTGCACATACGTTAAGCATATGTCATATATTAATTCCTGAAAATTTTAGCTCGCGCTTTGCAGGGACAGCCGAGATATTGAACGATCTTTTCGGCCGAGAGAGTACGCGAAACGCGGAGAGTGTCAGAGAAAAATTATTTTTTGGCCATATCTTTGCCAGTTTCGCGCGGAAAAAATTGATTTTTTGTGGAAACATTACCCTCTATAGTAGAAATAGCCATGAAACTTTTCATATCAAAATTTGCAAAAAAATCCCACATTCTTGCCAAATTTTTGACCTAAAAACCTCAATCATTTCTCGAAAGCGCGAGCTAAAAATCTGGCATATCTCCTAAAAATCATCAATCTTAATTTAGGCCAAGTTTCATCAAAATCTGACTGTTGCACTTGGAGCACTTCCCTAGTAAATATTACCATATATTATTGGAATTTTACAAACAAAATTTTCGGCTCTTACCGGAATAACAGAGCCTCGGCATAGCAAAGTTCGGCGTGGATTTCCTCATCGGTCAGCGCCTTATAATGCCCGCTGAGTCGGAAGATTGAGTCGGAAATGCTGTATTGGGCGCGGAAACGATGAATAACGTCGACGGCCTTCTGCGATTGAACCATCGCTTTCTCCATGTCGGCCTGAAAAGGGTAAAATGCGCGTTTTTGATGTTTTTCAAGCAAAACTCGTCGAGTTTTTAGATTTTCTGACCATTTTGTGTAGCAGGCCCTCCCGAAAGTAGCTGCAGTGATTTCGGGGACATGCACTGTGCGAAAACAAAAATTCACTTTGCACTGTGCAATTTCCCGCTTTTTGCACCGTGCAATAGGCTTTTTGGGCTGTCGCTCGCACCACGAATTTTTCTGCACAGTGCAAACTCCAAAAATCAGTCCATTTTTAGACAGAAATCAGAAAAAAACTTAATTTACAGGGGAAGTACCCCAAGTGCGACGCTCAGATTTTGATGAAACTTGGCACAAATTTAGAACAATTTTTTCTAAGATATATGCGAGAATCCTAGCTCGCGCTTTGCAGAAAGAACCGAGATTTTAAGATCGAAGGTCGGCCAAAATTTAGGCCTTTTTACCGAATTTCGGCCCGAAAAGTTTTATGCCTATTTCTACCGTAAAGGATAATGTTTCTACAAAAAATCAAATTTTTCCGCACAAAACTGCCAATGTTATTGCCAAAAAGCGCTTTTCTTCTCTCTGACCGCTCTCCACGTTTAGCGTGCTCTCTCGGCGGCAAAAATCGTTCGATATCTCGGCGGCGCCCGCAAAGCGCGAGCTAAAACTTTCAGGAATTGATATTTAGTCCATACGCGACGTGTGTGCAAAATTTAAAGAAAATCTGATCGTCGCACTTGGGGTACTTCCCTTGTTAGATGAAAGCCAAGGGCAATCAAAAAAAATCAATGGGACCAAGCCAATTTTTTGAAAATTTTATTTTTAGGGTACCAAATTTAACACATCGATTTCCCCCAAATTTTGTAGGCATGACCCAACAAGCCTGAATATTAGCTACTCAAAATTTTAGCTCCAGATTTGCAGGGATAGCCGAGATATTGAACAATCTTCCCAGTCGAGAGACAATGGAACATGATGTGAGACGGTCAGAGAAAAAAAAACTTCCTTGACTCTTTCTTTGTGAATTTCGTATAAAAAAAGTTATATTTGTTAGATGGAAAAACAATTTCATCACAGTTCTCACAATAAAAATTGCCAAAAAATTTCCAAATTTTTCAAAATTTTCGACTAAAAAATCTCGACGATTTCTGCAAAACGCGAGCCAAAAATCTCGCATATGTCTTACATTAGAAAAATTTAGTCTTAATTTGTCTCAAGTTTCATCAAAATCTGGGCTATTTTTGATTACTTTGTGATCCTTTTCGCATTTCCACCTCATTTTCCCCAAAAAAACTCACCCTATCGCATGTCATCATGGCCTGCAGAAAGAGCAGCGTACTATAACCCAGTGCATGATACATGGTCTTATCCGACAGGGGTTTTAATCGTGCTTCCGCCTCCTCGAAGTGGTTGTTCAGGAACAAGTTCATGGCTATTCGGGCCTCGGCAATGCATTCCAGCAAGTTGATGTCTTTTCGACTGAAATTTTAAGTCGCAAAATATATTTTAAAAGCGATTAATCGATGGTAAATTAAAAATAAAGATATAAATTTTCAATTTTTCCCAACTTACTGCGCCCAATATTCCGGAGCATCGTGAAAATCATCGTCGCTCAAACTTCTCGCCGCCTCTTTGTGCTCCACTTTCGCGTCGTTTTGATTCAAATTCGGCGTGGAATAGGCCAAATGAATCCCGCCGGATGGCTTCATCGCAAACTTGGGATGTGTAGACTTCACGTTTTCATTGTATTCTACATATTCTTGGCGCGGTTGTCAAGGGAACCAACCTTTACTCAACGAAGAAATTGAGAAAAGTGAGAGTGAAGGTGTTTCCGAGAACTCCGGCAAAATAAATTATAAATTTGAGAGCACAAATTGGCCCGTTCCGAGGGGAAGGCGAGTCAACAGGTGTATAAAGTAAAGCTACACTCCAGACAAAGGAAAGGTTTCGAGGAGAGTAAAGAACAACATAATGAAAGCTCTCTAAACCGACTAAAAACGCTGTCTCTGCCCTACATTTCTGACAATTACAACATAAACAAAACCCCTCATTTCATTCCTAAACTAATCCCCTTTTATACCCTATCCAAGTAAGAAACAATTACTTTTCCATCAAACCAAAGTCTCTTTCAAAAAAAGTTTAATTACACCAAAAACAATAAGGATTTATTCATAACAACAAACTCAACACAAAAGGGAAGCCGGTTTAGATGTTGCTTGGGTAGAGCATCACACGGATTCTCTTGCCCATGGCGGCTGGGGGAAGGTTGTGGCGGAACTTGGCGCGCACGGAGCCGGTGTTTCCATGTACTCGGGTGACGCGGCCCCAGATGGCGCGGACGCGGGTCTTCTCGTGGCCTCCCTTCGCGATCTTCTTGTGCGCCTTGTACACGTAGACGGCGCGCTTTCCGACGTAGAACTGGGCTTCCTTCTGGTCGTGAACATCTTCCAATTTCAAGAGGGCAGTGTTGACTTGCTGGTTTCGCTGTCCTCGCTTGAAGCCGCTGAAGATGGCGCGGACGTAGAGACGGCGGCCGTTCGGCTGGCGGGGAGTCTTCTGGGTCTCAGCCATTGTTTAAAATCGGTGGAAACCTGAAAGCACAGTGCTGTGAAAAGGATAAAATGGCAAATAAAAATCAAAGTAAGACGCGATAACAACGCGAAAAAATTAGAAATCCCCCAAAAAGCAAAAATACAAGTGAAAGATTATTTATGAGTATGTACAAATAATAAAGCAGCAAGTGATGATATCAGATCACTCATCGTCCGATGAAGAGCCATAGTCACCCACAAGGGCTCCTAAAGCGTTCCCAGACGATGATGATGGTGTTGAGACACTTATCGATGCCTTCGAAGGCCCAGCCGTCGATTTTGAGATTCCAATAATTCCACTTGTAGACGATGTAGGCTTTGGTTTCTTCTTGATGAAACCAGAGAGAAGACTTGGTTCCTTCTTCTTCGGACCAGGTTTCCACTGAGTCTTCATGGCAGAAGATGACTTCGGCTGTTCTTCTTCCACGACATCTTCAACTGTTTCCGTCGCTTCAATCTTCTTCTTGGCCAAGAGTCTTTGAATTTCCCTTTCATCTTCCTCTTCTTGAAGCTTATGACGTTGAGCTTGTGTTAGATTCACATCCATTGTCTGTGCATCCAGGAAACTCAACGGATCAAGTTTGTTATTCCTCCTATTCATCTCCTGAAGTTCTTCCAACTTATTGATAGCTTCCATTTCGGCTCTACTGGCTTGAGTTCGCTTCTCCAAAACCTTCATCGGATCGTTCTTTTCAGCTTCTTCCAATTCCTCGGCTTCCTTCTGCTTCTGTTGATAATACTTGGCGGCTTCAAACAGTCGAGTTGCTCCGTGCTCCATTTGATAATCCACATTCTCAATATCCGTCTTGAAAACCAGTTCGGCCAGACAATTTGGACATCTGAAATAAAAAACAGGGTTAGACAGAATGAGAGGATAAAAATCAAGTCTGAAAGATTCCAAATTCGGCGAAAAACATAATTTTCTGACCGAAAACACCATCTAAACCTTCAAATCAGAGATGGTCCGCCAAAACTCCTCCAATCCAATCTAAACACCAACAAAAATATAAATAAATATAACATACCTGAAGTAAAATCGAAAGATCTTCAATCCGAGGTAATCTTCTCCTTGTGCCGTCTCTCTTCTCATGTTGAACTTCTTCCCTTTGTAGATATACTCAGAACATGTGTTGCACTGCATATTGAACGGGGCCATAACACGTTGAACGAACTGTGAGCTTCCCTTCTTCCCCTTGGCCTTCGTCAACTTGTTGGGATCGAAGTCGGGTGGGTAATATTTCTGAAATCAAATAAAAAGGTTAGATTTATATTTTACATGGTTATACCTCTCCTAATTCTCAATTTACATCAATAAAAATCTAAAGGAAGAATAACAAAATGAATATAACTTACCTGGAACACTTTTCGCTCGGTTCCCGTCATTTTGGCACAATTTTATGGTCGACTTCTGATCAAAATGCAGGAAATGTGCCGAAGAACGCTGAAAGCCAACCAAATCCACCAAAAATCGACAGAAACTAGCTAAGAAACCCCTTTCCTATTCGGAAACCCGAAAAATTCGATGGAGTGAAAAAGAAAAACTCCTAGGAAAATTTACCGTACCCCGAGTGAAACGGAACGCCAAGAATCGTCTCGGGTCTCGTAGCGCAAACATTTTGAGGAACTTTTCTTTTTTCTCGTCAAAGTTTATGATAAATTGTTGTAGTTGCATGTAAATTGCAATTATTACATCTCTTTTTACGTATTTTTTGACATTTTTTATTAGAATACTCGGTTTTTGAAATGGATTTTTATATTAACTTTGTTGTATTCGCCGAGTCGGGGTAAAAATTGATATTCCTCTTGTTTTTTGTTACCTAAAATGGAGGTTTTTGGATTTCAGACATTGCTCTAGGTATCTGCTCGGTTTTAAGTACAATTTTAGCCTCAACTTACAATGAAAATCACATTAATTTTTGGATATTATACTAGGCATAAAATTGCTCAAATTTTCTGTCGAAAATGGTAAAAATGTCTATGAAAACGCCAGTTATTGCAGATTTTAGATATTGAGAAATTCACATGCCTGCAATTATTTCGAAATTGCACCTTCTTTTATCCACTCTTTTTCCGTCTCTTTTCTAAATTCTCCTACTTTCTCCCTTTTATTTTTACGCCCGCGTGACGCAAGCCGTGTTTTTCTAAAAGTGCCCTCATGAAGGTGGTATTTCCCCCCATTTTTTTGATGCGTTTACAGAACTTATTTGATTTTTGCAGAAAAAGCGAGAAAATGGCTTTGAGATGTCAATATGAAAATTCCAGCGACGTCGCTGTCTTTTGTAAACTTACAAATGCATACTGCTTGGTCGGGATTGGAGGAACGTCGCATTTCTACAGGTGAGTGTTTATTATTCTTTGTGTTTCGGGTTTAGGAAGATGAGTCATGAATAACATAAAAAAAGTGTTCGGACTCTTTGAAATTATGGCTTCATGAGCTTTCTAAAGGATATTGAGGGTGTTTCGGTTACGAGGTTTTTGTTGGCGTCTCTTTTTGGAGCTCTGTTTGGGATGTTCATCGGTTATTATGAATAATGTCGGAAAGTGACAAAATTATTGAAATTGTGGTTTTATTAGCTAGCGGAAAGGATTTTATAGTTTTTTTTGGCTAGATACTTCTATCTTCGACTCTTTTTTTAAGAGCTATTTACAAAAAAGATCAGCGTTCTCATGAATAATATAATTTCCACTCTAATTGTTTGTTTTCTAGTATTGTCGAAGCCGAATTGGCCGATGTGATCCCCGTAATCCACTGCACAATCGCCGGAACCTCCATTGTTGGACGGGTTTGCGCTGGAAACCGTCATGGTCTCCTTGTTCCAGATGCCACCACAGACAATGAACTCCAACATCTCCGGAATTCCCTCCCCGATTCTGTGACCATTCGAAGGGTGAACGAACGTCTCTCAGCCCTCGGAAATGTAATCTCCTGCAATGATCACGTTGCAATTGTTCATGCTGATGTCGGAAAAGAGCTGGAGGAGGCGTTGAAGGAGGTCTTGAAGGTCGAAGTTTTCCGAATGAACCTTGGAGAGCACGCACTTGTTGGATCCTACTCTTGTGTCACGTCTAATGGAGCTTTGGTCGCCGCGAAAACACCCCCACAAACTCAACGGGAATTGGCCTCACTTCTTCAGGTCCCAGTTGTCGCCGGAACAGTGAATCGAGGCTCGGAATTGGTCGGAGCCGGCGTCTGTGCCAATGATTGGATGGCAATTTGCGGGTTGAACACAACCTCAGCCGAGCTCTCAGTCATCGAGTCCATCTTCAAACTGGGAGATCAAAATCCATCCGCCATTTCGAAGGAACTCCGAGACACACTCATTGAGAGCATGTTATAGTATGCGATTTGTTGTTTTTTTTGTTGACCAAGTTGTATTTTCCCAGTTGTTCTTGTTTTTTCACAATTATTTGAGTGAGGAATTTGATTTATGTTCAAAGAATTGTGGTTTTTAAAGAATAAATCAATTTTTTTGAAGAGTTTTCCCGGCCTTGCAGTTTTTTCATAGACTTTTCAGATTGCACAGTGCAAACCCCAATTTGCACCGTGCGTTTTTTATTTTCGCACCGTGCATCAAAATATCGCAGAGATTTTAGCCTTTTCCAAGTGCGTCGCTGCGGTTTTGCGAGCTCATTCGCACAGTGCAAACCGCTTTTTCGCGTTTGCACGGTGCGAAAACGGGAAAATGCACGGTGCGCGAGCGACAAATAGGGGAAATGAAAAATGCACGGTGCGCGAGCGATAAAAGGCGAAAAAACATCAGTCTGTCGGGAAAACAACGGCGGGTCGTCGCAGCAAAATGTCTCGCATCGTCGCAGTCGCGCACCAAAACCCCAGCCGCGGTTCGCCGTCACAAAGCGATGATGGCCGATTCGAAGGTGCGACGATCCTTCATTATTTTCCCGACAGACTGACAGCATGTAGGGGAATAATTTTTCTCACGATCAGTCTGTCGGGAAAATAATGAGCACTATGTCGCGGCGCCGATCCCCGTCGCTGAAGTAAAAAGCAATTTGATTTTGTCGCATTACCATTCATTTCCTCGGCAATGCGATTTTATATGCGACAGAGTGCTCATTATTTTCCCGACAGGCTGATATTCGGCGCAAAAAGTCATGAGAAATTTTTTGGTTCTCTGCCGAGGCGAGCCATTTTTTTGATGACAAAAATCCGCATTATTTTCCCGACAGACTGATAAAAGTTTATTCTATTGTTGAAGCCTTATGAACCGATAAGGATCGCGTTTAAAACAACAAAACTATTTGCTAGAACAAGCATTCCCATTAATATCAAGAGGACCGCCTTTAAGAAAAGAACAACAGGATGAAAATGTGCTTGCACATCTTCGTCAAGGTCATAGTCGAACTCATCGTCATCGGACTCATCGGAGTCGTCATCAGACTCCTCATCGGAGTCATCCGGCTCGTATTCAACGTCAAATTCGTCGTCAGAATCAAATTCGGATTCAGAATCGGAGTCATCGTCGGATTCGTCGGCCAAATTGTAAAAGCGAACGATCTTCGCGGAGGACGTTTGAAGGTCTTTTTTCGTTCTTCTACACCAGCTTATTAGAAAGTAGAGCGCAATGGACGAGACGGGTAGCTGAAAGAATCTCGTTATAAAATGTTATCGTAGCTTGAAAAACCGGTACAGCAATCTGTCTGTCGGGAAAATAATGAGCACTCTGTCGCATCGAAAATCGCATCGCTGAAGAGAAAATTAGTTGTGTCGCGAGAAACTCAAATCGATTTTATACTTCAGTGACATTGTGCTCATTATTTTCCCGACAGACCGGTATCAGTCAGTCGGGAAAATAATGTGGATTTTTGGCATCAAAAAAATGGCTCGCCTCGGCAGAGAACCAAAAAATTTCTCATGACTTTTTGCGCCGAATATCAGCCTGTCGGGAAAATAATGAGCACTCTGTCGCATATAAAATCGCATTGCCGAGGAAATTAATGGTAATGCGACAAAATCAAATTGCTTTTTACTTCAGCGACGAGGATCGGCGCCGCGACATAGTGCTCATTATTTTCCCGACAGACTGATTGTGAGAAAAAATATTCCCCTACATGCTGTCAGTCTGTCGGGAAAATAATGGCCATCACAGCTGTGCGACGCGTAGCCGCGGCTGGAGATTTGGTGCGCGATTGCGACGAGCCGAAATCCACATTATTTTTCCGACAAACTGATAGCAAGTAGGGGAATATACTGCTCCACAAAATGATAGACGCACCTTGTTTTTAGCGATTATTTGTCTTATATTGAATGATATCCAGAAATGTTCAACAGATGAAATGTGGCAAATTAAACGAGAAAGCATGTCCCATAGCGATTTGGGAAACTTTTCTTGTCTTGACTGAAATTTTGAAATTTTTTGATTTTTAGGCTCCACAAAATGATAGACGCACTTGAATAATTTTTGATCTTTTAAAACAAATTTTGAGTCAACCTGCTCTTGTCGCACTTCCCCGTGTTCTCTGTAGTGTTAAGAAGGCTATTACATTCATATTCGCCGTACTTAATCGACGCAGTGGCCTCATGGGCCATCTGCGACCTTGTACATGAGATAAACATTAGTTTTGAAAAAACCCCCGATTAACGACTTATTTTCTCCAAGAAACAGCTTAGATTACTTGTAGTAACTACAAGTTGTAAAATAAACCAACACCGATTCGTTTGAATTCATTTAATCGACCAATAAGTTACCGTATACCTTCTACAGTAACCTTCAAAAGCCCTAAAAGCACAGAAAATTACTATCCATGGCAACTTTTTGCTCAGAACATCAAACTCAGCATGCTAAAAAACCTATACTCCCCGTACAATGTTTTGACCCCCCTCCTAACTCGGTCCAAGGTGTACTAATTCGGACCAAATTTGGTATTTAGTATACTCACAGGCTAGTAACAAAAAATAACATAGCTGGACCTACCTTATAGCTGAATTTTAAAAGCTAGGAGCAATTTTCAAAAATCACCTTAAAAAATCGAGGAAAAAGTTTTGACCCCCCTTAACAAAAAGTTAGATATCGCCAGCGGATGCCACGCAAACTTATTGTAATCGACGTCCCATACCTGAATACAGGTTAATATATGGTTTTCCGTTGAATGCTTCGTTGCATTTGAGGATTCAACGCGTTAAACCGTTTTTGATGTAGAGCTGCCCAAAATTGTAAAAATCTTGCCCTAGCGCTTTCCTAGAGCTCTAAATTGGGTTTATATTATGTGCTTTAGACCTGTATTTACCTTCTCCTTTCAATAAAAGTGCATGGTGGCCTGGCGGTGTAGATTCGGCAGATACCCTCTTGTCATGCTCAGCCTTGGTGAGCCATTTGCTCTTTGACTCAAGGTCGAGATGTGGTCGTTAGGTCCTCAGTGTAATCCTGAGACTCCTAGATACTCTCAAACAAAGAATAAACTCCGGCTGACACGGTCTGCTATGGTTTGCAGGCGCAACTTCGCCGATCTGCACCTTAACGAAAAACCCGCGTTTTTCAAATGGCTTTTTAGCCACCAAAAACGGCTTTCATTTGATGGACCAGGTAATTTAAGACGCTACAGCACCCACCATACTCATTTGAGACGTATGAAACGCCAAATGGGAGTTGGGGATGTAGTAGTACTCGGGGTCATCTACAGTAACGGCAAAGTTAAGGTTAAGGTGAATGAAACCCATTACAAAACGTGTCAAATCAAAACATTTTACATTACTGAGAGTAACTAGGAGTCTCAGGATTACATTGAGGACCTAACGACCACATCTCGACCTTGAGTCAAAGAGCAAATGGCTCACCAAGGCTGAGCATGACAAGAGGGTATCTGCCGAATCTACACCGCCAGGCCACCATGCACTTTTATTGAAAGGAGAAGGTAAATACAGGACTAAAGCACATAATATAAACCCAATTTAGAGCTCTAGGAAAGCGCTAGGGCAAGATTTTTACAATTTTGGGCAGCTCTACATCAAAAACGGTTTAACGCGTTGAATCCTCAAATGCAACGAAGCATTCAACGGAAAACCATATATTCACCTGTATTCAGGTATGGGACGTCGAATACAATAAGTTTGCGTGGCATCCGCTGGCGATATCTAACTTTTTGTTAAGGGGGGTCAAAACTTTTTCCCCGATTTTTTAAGGTGATTTTTGAAAATTGCCCCTAGCTTTTGAAATTCAACTATAAGGTACGTCCTGCTATGTTATTTTTTGTTACTAGCCTGTGAGTATACTACATACCAAATTTGGTCCGAATTAGTACACTTTGGACGGAGTTAGGAGGGGGGTCAAAACATTGTACGGGGAGTATAGGTTTTTTAGCATGCTGAGTTTGATGTTCTGAGCAAAAAGTTGCCATGGATAGTAATTTTCTGTGCTTTTAGGGCTTTTGAAGGTTACTGTAGAAGGTATACGGTAACTTATTGGTCGATTAAATGAATTCAAACGAATCGGTGTTGGTTTATTTTACAACTTGTAGTTACTACAAGTAATCTAAGCTGTTTCTTGGAGAAAATAAGTCGTTAATCGGGGGTTTTTTCAAAACTAATGTTTATCTCATGTACAAGGTCGCAGATGGCCCATGAGGCCACTGCGTCGATTAAGTACGGCGGATATGAATGTAATAGCCTTCTTAACACTACAGAGAACACGGGGAAGTGCGACAAGAGCAGGTTGACTCAAAATTTGTTTTAAAAGATCAAAAATTATTCAAGTGCGTCTATCATTTTGTGGAGCCTAAAAATCAAAAAATTTCAAAATTTCAGTCAAGACAAAATTTTGTTCCAAAATCGTTATGGGACATGATTTCTCGTTTTATAAGCCACATTTCATCTGTTGAACATTTTTGGATATCATTTAGTATAAGGAAGATAATCGGTAAAAAAAGGGTGCGTCTATCATTTTGTGGAGCAGTATATTTTTTTTGGAGAATAGACTCACTATGTTTGCCAATGCGATGGAAACACATCGCTGTGTCAACTGTTCATTCCTCAAACTCCTCTTGAGCAAAGTGCAAGGCCCCGTGAAAAGCATACCGATGTAGCTCGGGATGGTTACTGCGGCCGAAAATGTCTGAAAAATATATTATTACATATACATAGCCATTCTATTATACATACTTTGACTTACCACTAAATATAAGATACACACCTTCACAGGTGTACGCAAAAATTTCATTATGAAGAGTGGGTAAGGTAAGAATGTAGGTCGAAAAGTAGACAAAAATAAACTCGATTGCCTCTGGGGTTACTGTAGATAAAAATAGCTGAATTATGAAGCAATTTTATCACAAAAACTTAATCTTCATTCCAAGAAGTTTCCATAGCTGACGCTTCTTCTCTGCTTTGCTGCAAATCACCAAAGAAAAATCTTGTTGCGCAAACAAGCTTTATTTACAATTAGGCGACGGTTTGGATTACAGAAAAAAATTTATAGGGATGCGAATGCCTGGGAATACTAATCGCGCCATAAAGTCCTGAGAAATTTGCACTGTGCGTTTTGCTTTCCTTTCACGCCCGTCGCCACAATTCCGAACATAGAAACTTCATCCAAGAATCTGAATACTACAGTGAGGGGGACCTGATCCAGTGGCAAAAAACGTACCATTTTGCATCCGGGACGTATCAAAAATGTGGCAAAATGCTTCCCTCTCTAAGTGAAACAACTTGGTTTGAAGGACGCGCCCTTTCCTTTTCAAAAATCGGAGTTTTTTCACAAGGAAGCATTTTGCCACATCTTTTGATATTTCCCGGATGCAAAATGGTACGTTTTTTGCCAGTGGATCAGGTCCCCCTCACTGTACTTCCAACAGACATGGCCGCGCCATGTCTGTTGGTACCTCAAGTCCCGGAGCTTGGCCCTCTAAAGAAGGTACTCGTTTTCAAATTTTTTGGAGCCCGACCCGATAACTTCGCGTCTTTAAATTCATCTTTTTCAAAACAAAATACTGACTGATATACAGTGAGGGACCTGATCCAGTGGCAAAAAACGTATCATTTTGCATCCTGGAAGTATCAAAAATGTAGCAAAATGTCTCCCTCTCCAACTAAAAAACTACGTTTTGAAGGGCACGCCCTTTCCCTCACAAAAAAAGCGGGCTAGAAATCGTAGTTTTTTCACTTGGAGAGGGAGGTATTTTGCTACATTTTTTGATATTTCCCGGATGCAAAATGGTACGTTTTTGGCCAACGGATCAGGTCCGCCACTGTACAGGGTGTCCCGAGACTGACCACATGACGATACGGCAGCATCATCTTCTGGGCCGCAAACCGTACCTGTGAAACATCAAATCTTGACCATGATCTCAATCATCATAAATAATTTATCAAAGCGTTACGATTTGCTAACAACTGTAAGGCCAACTGTCATTGACTAAAAGACAAGGTTTATTCGAAAAACGCTACAATTTGAACCAAGGAATTCGGTGTCTCAATGGACTCTGCAGAGGAACCCGATCGCATGCGATTTTCCCTTTGATGACTTCATGAAGATAAATGTCAGCGGTTCCATCCTTCTTCACAACGGCAAAGGAGTTGTTGCTGAGTCTGGCAAAGGACACGTCCTTGACTGGAATCCCACTATCTTCCACTGTGAACTCTCCGTTTTGCAGGCGGACGAACTGAAAATCATTCACGTTATTTTGAATTTTCCTCTGAATAAACAGTTCCTATCAGTCTGTCGGTAAAATAATGAGCACCATGTCGCTGCGCCAGTCGCGTCGCTGAAGTAAAAAGCAATTTGATTTTGTCGCGACACAATTCATTTTCTCGGCGCCGACGCGATTTTCGATGCGACAGAGTGCTCATTATTTTCCCGACAGACTCAAGAACTATGCGGTATCGCAGTAGGCTGACCTAGTAAAAATTTTGCTTACAATTAGCGCCTTATTAATTTCTTATTTACTGTGAAAGTCGTATTTTGTACCGCAAAGTTTACAACGATACGGCTCAAAAAACATTTTTTTCTCTGTACACTGCTAATTTTCCGTACTCTCTCGTCTTTCAACACCCGCTAAAGAACCAAAATGCACTGTGCAAAGCTAAATTTTACTTTGGCGGACATATAATAAAACAAAATCGGTCTCTACTACACTGACGGACCTGATCCAGAAAAAAGTACCGTTTGCATCCGGACAGGGTCAAAAAATGTGGCAAAATACCTCCCTCTCCAAGTAAAAAGACTCTAATTTCAAAAGCTCTTTTTGTGAGAGAAAAGGCGCGCTCTTCAAAACGGAGCTCTTTCACTTGGAGAGGGAGGCATTTTGCCACATTTTTTGATACTTCCCGGATGCAAAATGGAACATTTTGTACTATCAAAACCCAGAATACTCACCTTGATAGTTGCAGCCGGGAAATTGTCGCTAAACACATAGGTATTCTCATCCAATCGCTCGCTGATGCATTTCAAATTAAAGTACTTTTCAATGTTCTGATCGTGCGTGACGATTCCCCAAACCTTCTGCAAATTCGCGTTGAGTAAGACGATCTGAATGGACATTCGGCACAGGATCTGGTCGCCATTCTGAATACAGTCGTAGAGTGTCTCCTTGAGCCTTCTGCAACGCAGCCCTTCCGTCTCCATATTATAGGACATGATGTACAGAGAGTCGCATCTCGAGGAGAAGAGGAAAAGATTGTCGCCTTGGACGGAGAGCTGAGTCGGTTCGCAGCCATCTCGAATGATTTGGGTTCGAAGAAGAATCGTGGGCGTAGGGTGTTGTGGGGTAATGAAGCCGACAGCAATCTGGACTGGAGAGAAAGTCGATTCTGTTTCGACGTAGTAGAGGCGATCATACTGTTTGTCGTAGAACATGGCAATCCAGGAGTTCTGAAATGAAAATGTATTATAGTAAGAAAAGCGGCGTTTATGTATACAAGTCAATTGCTTGAAACAAAAAAATCAGATTTTGTTCCAATTTAGCGTCCGTAGTCTGTCTATCAGGCTGTCGCGAAAATAATGAGCACTATGTCGCATCGAAAATCGCATCGTCGCTGAGAAAATGAATTGCGCCGTCAAAGTCCATAAAAAACCGTCGTTTCAAAGCTGGACGCAGCTCGGAAAAATTATTTTTTCGTTTTTTGGATGGGCCAGGAAACGGGTTTTTAGGTAACCGTTGAGGGTTGAGCCTGAACTCTACCCCTTTTCTGAACTTTCCCCCAATCTGAACTCTACCCCAAAAAAGGCTGAACTCTACCCCTTTTTTGATTTTCGCCAAAAAATCTGAACTCTCCCCCTTTTTGAACACTACCCCATTTTGAAAATTGAAAAAACGATATGTGGCATGTTATACGATGGAATTTTTTTTCAAGTTGAAAAAACGAGGTGTGACACGTTATACGATGGAAATTTTTTTCAAATTGAAAAAAATAAGATGTGACATCTTATACGATAAAATTTTTTTCAAAATAACGTGTCATACCTGATTCTTTTCAATTTGGAAAAAAATTTTCATCGTATCAGTCTGTCGGAAAAATAACGGCGGATCGCCGCAGCAAAAAGTCTCGCCTCGCCGCTATCGCGCACCAAATAACAAGTCGCGGCTTGCAGTCGCAAAGCGATGATGGGCGATTCGGAGGCGCGACGATCCGCCGTTTTTTTCCCGACAGACCGATATAACACGTCACACCTAATTTTTCTCAATTTGAAAAAATTTTTCATCGTATAAGATGTCACACCTCATTTTTTCAATTTTCAAAATGAGGGGGAGTGTTCAAAAAGGAGGAGGGTTCAAAAAGGGGTAGAGTTCTGAAGGGGCAAAGTTCAAAAAAGGGTAGAGTTCAGAAAAGGGGTAGAGTTCAGAAAAGGGGTAGAGTTGAGTCCCTTAAATTCTCGCTTCGCACAAGCAGAAAGCCAAAACTTACAGCAGTATGGGTGTCAAACTCCTTGATCATTCTCTTTGGTGCCCTTCCAATCCATATTTTGTCATTGTTCACGAGAATTCCTTTGATTTCGATGGTTCCATCAGTATACCAATCGGAATGGCTGGCATAAACCACTTCCTCTTCGTAGTCAGCATAATGAAAGTCCAAGAAAAGTCGAACTTTTCCGGACATATAGGTTGCTCTGAGGGCTTCAAGAAAGAAGCTGTTGATGGTTTCCATTTTATGAACAGGCAGTGTCAATGAACATGTATTTTTTGCAAGTTGACTGAAAAAAATATTACGGGTGATGACATCAATGATGTTACAAAAAAAGTGTTTTGATATGGACTTACTTGTAGATCTCATCATAACAGTTATCGTGCTGATAAAATTGATCACGGTTACGTTGCAGAAACCGTTGAATTCGGGGATTTTTCCCGTGATATTTTAGGTCGACAAAATGATGAAGCTTGATTATTTCCGTTATCGAGAGATAATCGGTCAACAAGTCCACAAGCTGAAAACAAGGAACATTGATTATTATTATTTATTTTCATTAAGTGCATGGACATTTCCTGTCACAAAGATCCTCCATTTTGCACCGTGCATATTACCATTTTTAGGCTTTCGCACTGTGCACTCGAAAAATCGCTGCGACATAAGCAAGCTTCAACTTTGTCGCGCCAGCAATTTGCACAGTGCAAACGGCTTTCTTGAGGTCTGCACGGTGCGAAATGAGAAAAATGCACTGTGCGTTGGCGACAAGCATGGGAAAAGGTTCAAACTGCACTGTGCGAAAGCAAACAAAAAAATCCATGCACTTAATGAAAATACTATCAGTCTGTCGGGAAAATAACGTCGCGGCGAAAAAAATGAACGGTAGCAAAGTCAAATTGCTTTTCAACTTCAGCGACGCGATTTGCGATGCGACAGAGTGCTCATTATTTTCCCGACAGACTGATAGTAAAAATGAAATTATTATAATACATAGAGCAAACATTTTTTCCACTCCATCAAATTTGTTGAACAGAGGGTTCACTGTATTTTTTTTTTGATTCTTTACAACTCATTTTACGAATGTTGTGAAAATATCAGTCTGTCGGGAAAATAATGAGCACAATGTCGCTACGAAACGCAATTTTATTTTTCCGCGACACAATTCATTTTCTCGTCGGCGATGCGATTTTCGATGCGACAGAGTGCTCATTATTTTCCCGACAAACTGATAAAGAAGTTATCATAAAGAAATAGATAGTAGATTTAAAAAAAAACTGTCCTTACCTCTCCCGGAAGTCGTTGAAAAACCCGTTTCACCATCAAAATATCTCTCGTCTCGGGCCCAAAATCAATTGTCCTCTCTCGTTTTGCAGCAATCAACGGAACCGGCTCCCGACGGCTCCGATATTTGGTGGACAGTTGGCAGAAGCTCCACCGATTGTCCAGCTCGCCTCTCACCATGAACAACAGGAAATTGGCGAGCCTCAAGAGGCAACGGAACAAAAAATTGAGAACGATGCCGACAAAGTGATACATAGGCATGACACCTAGGGCAAATAGGGTGAGATTGGGTTATATCCTCATATGAAAAATTTAAAAAATTGGCTCGGCAGAGAAATTTGGAGCAGAAATTTTTATTCAAAGAACAGCAGAAATTTCCTTCTTCAAAGAGTTTTCTATAAACAAAAAAAAAGGTTTTTTATTTTTATTTTACCCTTTTTACTTTAAAGGGGAAGTACTTCAAGTGCGACGCTCAGATTTCGATGAAACTTGGCACAAATTTTGAATATTTTTTTCTAAAACATATGCGAGATTTTTAGCTCGCGCTTTGCAGAAAACAACCGAGTTTTTTAGTAAAAATTTTCTTGCCTATTTCTGCTGCAGGAGGTAATGTTTCCACAAGAAAATAAATTTATTCCATTCTAAACTGTCAAAGATACGGCCAAATTTTGGTTTTTGATAAAACTCACAGGGGAAGAGTACTCCAAGTGCGACGCTCAGATTTTCTTTAAATTTTGCACACACGTCGGGTATGCACTAAATATCAACTCCTGAAAGTTTTAGCTCGCGCTTTGCAGGCGCCGCCGAGATATCGAACGATTTTTGCCGCCGAGAGAGCACGCTAAACGTGGAGAGCGGTCAGAGAAAAAACACGCTTTTTGGCCATAACTTTGGCAGTTTCGTGCGGAAAAACTTCATTTTTTGTCGAAACATTATCCTTTACGGTAGAAATAGGCACGAAACTTTTCGCGCCGAAATTCGGCAAAAAGTCCGAAATTTTCGCCGATTTTCGATCTAAAAATCTCGGTTGTTTCTGCAAAGCGCGAGCTAGGATTCTCGCATATATCTTAGGAAAAATTATTCTAAATTTGCGCCAAGTTTCATCAAAATCTGAGCGTCGCACTTGGAGTACTTCCCTGTCAGTTCGCTTTTTCAACGATGATTTCTCTTATTGTTAAATATGAAACATCCATAGCCATTGTAAGTTGCCAAATATAAATGTTTTTCCGTTTATTTTCCATGCAAGTTATTTTCAGCTCTTATGCATACCAACTTTTACACTTGTGACCTTGGTCCTCGCTCTGGCTGCTTGCATTAAGATTCGGCTTTCCTTGGAAACTCAAACATACATCGTTTTGAGCTTGACTGCGGTTGCTCTGTTCGAGGTAGGTTCGGATTCGGAAAAAGTTCCTTATTTTGGCCACAACAAAGGTACTCCGCGATCTGCGCCCAAGCTTGGGCACTGAAATTAGGAAAAAACGCTTCGACCTAGCTGCCACTGAATTACTATAATAGCTCTATAGTTTTAAGGGTACCTACGAAGGCTGTGACGACTCATTTAGTTCCATACGGAGGCAATAAGTTTAGTTCCGGACATGTTTCAACGTATAAAGTGTAAAATCACAGGCTGCAGCCGTTTTTGAAGGGTAAGGTGGTACGTGAAAAAGAAGGTACCTCACTAACTAAATCCACTGTCCGGGCATTGACAACGATGAATTGAGCGTGCACGCTAAATTTGGGCTAATTCCGACCAGTTTCCGCAAAGTTATAAGTTGTGGCCAAAATAAGAAACTTTTACCTCGGGTTCTCGCTCACGAATACTCATATCTTTCCAGGCCGCAATACTCTTCCTTGTTGCGTATGGGAGCATCGAAATTTACCGAAGAGTAAGAGCCGGAGAACTCGATGACTTCGGTAGCCAATCGACCGCCGAACCCGTGCCATACGGACGATATGTGGATGCCTTTCACAACATAAATCAGGAAGTGCATAATCAAATTATCGATCCCTATTTACAATTCTGTATCCAACTCGTAATTATTTCACGGATAGCAGTGATAATGGCGTTGATTTGCGTACCTACTAGTTTATTTTGCAAACTTTTTTACGCTGTTGTGTTTGAAGACAAAGAAGAATTGAGGGAATTTTTTAAAAGCGACGATTAAGCTTCAAATAAAAGTTGCCCAACTAAGTAAAAAAAGAGTATAATACAGGGTCTTTCAAGAAACGTGAAGCCTGAGGCTATAAAATAGAAAAAATCCGACATTTCTTGGTGAGAACGGCTCAACAAGACTTTTCTTGTACGAATGTTTTCGTGGGACCATCAGTTGTAATCAGATAGCCCAACTACCCTTTCAATGTAAAATTCCTCTGTACAAACGGGATTACTGGGAGTGGCACGAGCTTTATCAATAATTATCAATAAATTCGGTGAATTTCATTAGAAATAAAACCTTTATTTGCATTCAAATAAGACCTAATCGAATTTACAGCCGGGCTTGGCCTTGCGGCACAAGACGGTCGAAGTGTGGACAGCAGGACCGACCAGGACCTTCTCGGTTCCTCCGTAACCGGCGGAAGCGCGTTCGTTGCGAATGTCCACCTTTCCGAGGACCTCCTTTCCGTCCAGAATGATGACGGCCGGGGAGACCTTGACCTTGCCGTTGTCCACGTTCACGGGGACCCATTCCAGTTCGCCTTGGGCGGCCGCTTCCGGATAGGGCTTCCAGGCGTAGTCGAAACCACGAACGTGCTCGGGCAGCTCGAACAGGACCTGAAATTTGATATTGTAGTAGGGGGATAGGTCAAGATTGAAAAATTCGAAAAATTAGTGTATCAAAAAGATTTTAGCTGCCTAAAAAGTGGCGCCAATAGTCCCTAATGCCTTTACGAAATTTCTAAGAGGATTTTAACCTCAAATTTGATACAGTAGGTGAAAATGGGAAGATTCGAAAAAATGATGACTTTAAAGTCTTATCAATTCCTAGGGCCATTGCGCTATCTTAGCTGAAAATGGTAGGGCGCCGCTCGGAAAACAAGCTTTCGCAGCTCGTTGGAGCTAAGTTTCAGGTTGTTTTCAGCTTGTTTTCGCGAGCTGCGCCCTATGATTTTCAGCCAACTTTCAGATAACACATTGGCCTAAGCTTCTAAGCTTTGATATTTCTTGCAACCGGAATTGTTCGGGCGCAAGCTGTAAAACCATGTTTTCGCTGGGGCCAGAGAAAGGAAGTTTCTCCCCCATTGGCCCCTGGAACCTTTTTGCATACTTCCCAATATGCAAGAAGGTTCCAATCAATACCCCAAGGTCTCACAAGCCAATACAACACAATCGCTAAGACACTATTCACCCCCACCAACCTGGATGGATCCAATATTCTTCTTGTACTCGTGTCCTCCCCATCCAAAGTTGGCCGCAATCTTTCCTCCCTCGTTCCAGATGCGTCCCATGACCGGCTCGCCGGCCTGATACCACAACGCCACATACTGCTCGGGATTCTCGCCGGACAGCGTGTTCAGGGCTCGGGAGAGGGCCTTCACACACTTGGTTGGGGGGAACGGATCGCCGGCACGGAAGTCGGCCCATTCGTTGAGCATGACACGAACCACCGGCTTGGCGCTCTTGTTGCATTCTGTGCATTCACAAGCTGGCGGGCCACCTAAAAAATGGACAACAATGATACATGTATATTATACTTGATTACGATGACAATAAAACTTCAAAGAAAAAAAACTTCAAAATCTCTCCACCAACTTCCATCCACTAACCTTTCAATTCGCGGACAATAATGTACATCGGACTCAGCGCCAGTCCTTGCAGATCCTCCGCCTTGCCGTCATGGGAGAAGCGGGCAATTTCCGTCTTATTGTCCACATATCCCAACAACGCGCCTTCCTTTCGGTCCAGCCAGAGCAGCGGAATGGAATCACCGCAGCGCACAATCTCACGCTCCTTCACGTCCTTGTCCAGACGCTCCGAGTACTTGATCCAGTTGTACCAGAATCCCAGCGAATTGTGGTCTCCCTTGTATTGGAGGACCTGGATTTGGCCGGCCAAATCCTTGGCTCCGGTCAGCTCCACCTTCAGATAGGGGAACGAGCACTCCACAACTCCACCGTTGTTCCAGGCACGGCCGTGAATTGGCTGAAAATGGAAAGTTAATTTGCACTGTGCGAAAAATAAAAACATCGCTTTTGCGTTTGCACAGCGCGAAAATCAAACGAAAACACATCGCGTTCGCACAGCGCGAAAATTAAAAACATCGCGGTTGCACAGTGCGGAAATTAAAACCATCGCGTTTGCACAGTGCGAAAATTCAAGAATGCCTCAACCGCACAGTGCGAAAATTAAAACCGTCGCGTTTGCAGTGCGAAAATTCAAAACATCGCGGCTGCACAGTGCGAAAATTAAACCCGTCGCGTAAGCACAGAGCGAAAATCAAAATCATCGCGGTTGCACAGTGCGAAAATTAAAACCGTCGCGTTTGCACAGTGCGAAAAATAAAAACATCGCGGCTGCACAGTGCGAAAATTAAAACCGTCGCGTTCGCACAGTGCGAAAAATAAAAACATCGCGACTGCACAGTGCAAAAAATAAACACCGCGGTTGCACAGTGCAAAAAATAAAAACATCGCGGCTGCACAGTGCAAAAATCAAGAATGCCTCCACCGCACAGTGCGAAAAATAAACATCTCTGTTGCACAGTGCAAAAATCAAAATCATCGTGGTTGTACAGTGCGAAAACCAAACGCAAACAAACCGCGGTTGCACAGTGCAAAATCAAAAATGCCTCAACCGCACAGTGCAAAGATTAAAAACATCGCGATTGCACTGTGCGGGGGTCAAAAACCATCGTTTTTGCACAGTGCGAAAATTAAAACCGTCGCGGTTGCACAGTGCGGCAATCAAAAGCATCATGACTGCACCAGTAAAACCAAATTTGCCTATCGTAACCCAACAGTAACCCAAATTTACTACCCCCTCCCCTATCCCACAAATCCCCTCTCTCCCCAACTTACTTTTCCGTTCTTGTACCACAACGCGACGTACATGTTCTGCTGGCGGAGACACTTGACTGGATTGTCAGGGAATGGAGCTCCAATCGGCTGGAAGGCCCACGTATCCTCCAATGCGGGCACACGGTTCGGCATTTTGGACGCGGAAACAGAGACGCAACCGACCCACAGCGATCACCGTCGAATGAGAGAGAATGAAGCGCGCCACGTGCTTTTTATACCAATTTATGCGAATTTGGAATGGGGGAAGTGAGAAAAAATTTGGAGATTTTTTTTTGGGAAATCGGTCGATTTTTGGGGGATTTTCAAAAAAAAAATATTTTTTTGCAAAAATCGTTTCAGCGACTTCGCAAACCGATCAGTTTCAGTCTGTCGGGAAAATAATGAGCACAAAACACAATTAATTTTTTCGGCGGCGATGCGATTTTTGATGCGACAAAATGCTCATTATTTTCCCGACATACTGATAGACATGTTTCATTGCCATGTATTTGTAACGAAACCTTTCGATTTTTTGAGGGCATTTTTTTGAACAATTTTTTTCTTTTATTTTTCTCCTAGCCTTCTCAGTCAAACTCTAAAGAAACCAAAAAAACCCAAAAAAATCAAAAAATCCCTCCAAAAAATCGATTTTTTTATTTTCTAAAAATTTTGGAAATTCCAAAAATTGATACTGCCAGTCTGTCGGGAAAATAATGAGCGCTCTGTCGCTCAATCGCGTCGCTGAAATGAAAAGCAACTTGATTTTTCGGCAAAACAGTTCATTTTCTCGGCAGCGATGCGATTTTTGGATGCGACAGAATGCTCATTATTTTCCCGACAGATGGATAAAAAGCTAAAAACACTTGGCCGTTGTAGAAAGTTTTCGTTATAGGAAGTTCTTTCGGCCGAAAGAGACCATCTTTGTGGCGAAGGTCGTGCTTTTTTTCTCTCAAATTATCGTCTCTAGTCTTCTTGAACCCTCACAACCAGAATTTCCTTTTTGCCCGATACATCTCAAAAATCATCAAACAAAAAACTGTTTTTATTGCATGAAAATTTCATCAACATAATTTAATTTTTATCCGACCGGAGGCATGTTGTTCCAAAGAGCTCCAAGCTGTCTGAAGTATGCCTCAGTCTTTCTTGAGTCGCTTTGAACAAGATCCAGTCGATTTCGGTCTCTCTGCATCTTGTAGGATATTCGGATATAAACGGAAATGCACAAGACCATCGACGTGTCGAGGAGCTGAAAAAAGAAGTATCAGTAATAGTGATATCTACTGTTCAAGAGAGGAGTTGTTGGGGCATTTTGATTATACGTATATTATATTAGGTTGTCCCATAAATAGTGTCCCTCTTCGGAATATTTCCTTAAACTACAAAATTTACCGCAGTAACAGCGATCTATTTATTCAAAATGATTATCATCTTTTTGAGCACGCTTAGTAGAATGTACCAAAAGCTTTTTTATGCCGGTAGCTTCAAAACTCCGGACTCTGGAGCCGATGAAACTTTCAAAGGCCTTTTGAAGGGTGTCTTAATTGATGAATTCCCTACCACGGATGAAACGTGGTAGATCCTTGAAGAGGTGGTAATCTGTATAGGCTACGTTTGAAGAATACGCCTATTGGGGGAGAGCCTCGTATCTCTGTTAATTTGGATCCCGGAAGGTCATTTTTCCAAGGTGAGGTTGCGCGTTCCAGCCAAGAACTTTCCGACTTTAGCAGTGTATTGCTGAAGGCAGATTGTGCCATAAATTGTCTATGTAGGTACAGTAGAGGATGCTATTTACTGTTTCCCCAGGTTCTAGGAATTTGTACTGTGCGAAGCTAACGTTGCGCCATCAAAAAGTGGTCGTCACCGTCTTCCAGTGGAACTCAGAATTTGGGAAGTGCTGTGGTAGTACTCCGGCGTTCTTCATTGACCAAATCTTGTCTAGGTGTCGCAGTTGATCCACTTGCCACCGCAGGCCATGGTACCTTCCAGGAAATCTGGATGTTCGGCTCGGAAAAGCAAAAAACCCGGCGCTTTCATTCTGGGCTTTGGTCCACTAATATGGGAAAAGTTTGTCGAGCTTTTTCTTGAAACTATCAGCATCGAACCGTTAACCGTTGATAGTTATGATGCTACCACGATCCCAGAAAGGCGTCGGATGTTGATTTCATGATTTTCGTCCACCAATGACCTCAGGGTAAATTCGCAAAGCTTGGAGACCGCATTTTGTCTTAGTGGTTCCCGCGGCCCGGTCGAATTTTTTTAAACCGTCGTTTCACCGTCAGCGGACTCATAGCGCACTAGCTGAACATGATGTTGATACTTCGTGTATCTTCTGAAACCTTGGCACCCTGTTTTTGCTCACACAAGTTGATGGCACGGATCTGCTTTTTTTCCACAATTTTGAATTGGCGCTAAATTACTGTAATTTCATCCAAATATGGCATCCGATACATTAAACGAAAGCCTGAGAGCACAGCTACAAAATGGTAGTAACATTGCGAAATTTGGCTGGTGCTTACGTTTTTTATAGACGTTTGATTTTGCCCCTCTCGAAGAGGGACACTATTTATGGGACAACCTAATAGTTTTACAGGACTTCACACAGTTTCAAAATTATGTTTCTCTGATTTTCATGCGACATTTTTTAGTTCGTAAAGTCGCTGGAGTGATTTTTGCGACATGCACTGTGAGAAAACAAAAATTCACTTTGCACTGTGAAATTTCTGGCTTTCTGCACCGCAAAAAGGCTTTTTTTGGGCTGTCGCTCGCACCCTATCTTTTTCTGCACAAGATCTCTTTAGACCGTTTTTCGTGGTCTCTGTAAAAAATCAGGCAACTGCGCAACGAACCCCGTTATTTCATAAACTCTTCCTCAATATGGGTAATTCTCTCAGCACAATCTTTTTTAAAATCCAAAGAATCAATTTTTTCTTGCCTTAGGCAAAACTTTGGAAAAACGTTGTCAACAGGTAACTTGCTCAGAATAACGATACCAATCCATCCGAACGACCCCCGGCTCTCTGGCATGTGTACTTTTTGTGACAGAAAATTTGCGGTGAAAGTACAGTACGCCTACAGTGAGCCCAATCTCAAAAAAATAGAAGTGCCAAAAGATTTTGTTTTGTTAGTGTACTAACTGGGTTGAATTTCAGCCCTGTTCTTTAGGAACCTTCTCCTTTTTGGACCAACGCTACAGCTTTGTCTGGAGTGTTGGCAAATCTGACGCTTCGGATTCAGCGCCGAGAAAAATCATCAGAATTTGTAAACGGGTAGCACTTCTTGTTGTTATCTAAAACTCCACTTACATAATGAGCAATGGCGATAGCCGTGACAAAGTAGGACTTCTGACTCGGGTCTCCGAAGAGCCCTCGTGCCGAGATCGCAATAATCAAATACGATAGGTAAAATGCGGAGTAAATCAAAGAGACCGGGATGATCAACCTGCTGGTGACGTAATTCTCGGTCTGTTGGAAGGACTTGGACAATGAGTAGTCCTTGAATTTTCTGAAAAAGTTTTGCTGTTAATCGTTGAACACATTTATTGCAAATAATAGCGAAGCATTTTTGAAGCCAAACCCTCGTTTGTGTTCTGAGCTTTGAGCTCTGACGTTTTAACAAGTAGCGCTCAAAACTACAACTACATTTTACAAACTTCGTTGTTCTCTGCTTACAATTAGCTGTCAAAGATTACATTATGTATATCCAAAAATGGAAATGGTTGCTGTAAATCAATCTGCAATACAATGGAGACTTTTACAACGACATCCCATACAATGGATGTCTCTAATATGTATAGAAAGGTCACGTTGTACGAAGGTTCACATTGGCCTAAGACCAGAGATTGCCACGGCCAAAATTTTCGCTCTTTACAGGATCTGATCCTTTGGCAAAAAACGTATAATTTTGCATCCGGGAAGTATCGAAAATATGGCAAAATGCCTCTCACTACAATAAAAAAAAACTCCGATTTGAAAGTCGCGCCGTTTCCCTCACAAAAAGAGCGGGCGCGCTTTTGGAGTTTTTTTAGCTTGCAGAGGGAGGTATTTTGTTGCATTTTTGATACCTCACGGATCCAAAATGGTACGTTTTTTGCCAATGGATCAGGTCCGCTAACTGTTTCGGTTTTTTTGACTAAATGTATGCTATTGAGCTTTCGTGACTTTATTAGAAAACAATGGTGCGATCTTGAAAATACTCAATAGCATTAAGAAGAATTACACAAACCAAACACCTCCTTCCCAGTATTTTTCAAGCAAATTGGTTTAACAAGATCACGAAATTTTTACTTTCTAAACGCTGAGAAGCCTGGCTCCGAGTTTGGGCTCGGGACTCGGAGCCGGAGCCGCTCAGAGCCGGAGCCAAGAGCCGGCTTCGGAGCCGTGGCAATCTCTGTCTTAGACTGACCCAAGAACCCAGGGAGCCTCTGAAATTGTTCGCTATTGTAAGGTCTCGTTGTATATCTTGCAAAAATGTTCCATTGTAACCTGAATGGAAAAAAAACACTTCAGGGATCGTGAACAACGTTTTTGTGGGAAAATTTTTTCGTAAATATAATTAAGCCGTCATAATATTAAATATGAATTCCTGAGAAAATTACAAGCGTTTTGTCATGGCATTCTCAAGGAAGCTATTATACGTAAATAAAATTCAAGGTTAAAATTCCCAATAAGCCCGCAAACCAAAGCTCTCTTACGTTCCATACCCTCTGGCGATTTCTCGTTTGTTCATGACATACAACACCACATCAGCGACTGTTGTGACGCCGTCCACTGCCATCAACACATATAGTAATATCTTAATACGATCCCTGTTATCGTCCAACGTCACAGTGCAAACCGGAATATACTCGTTGTAATTGCTCGTTCCATAGGCGGCGTAACTTATAACTACCGTTATTAGCCACTAAAAACTGCTTTCTATTATTCAAGAAAGCCCTACAGTAGCCGCGATCAAACAAATCCCAATTCTCTTCCCCATTTTCTCATAATTTCCTCGGGATCTCGTCGCCATATACCGCTCCGTAAACGCGGCCAAATGCAGAAACGTTAATGAAACGGTGGTCCAAGAGATTGGCCATCGAAGGAGAACGCAGACCCATTTGGTGTAGAAGTTATCACAGTACGCGGAGAAAGCCTGTAGAAGGATATTGTAGAGATTGGCGAAAAAGGCAAAGAAAACATGAAGAAACACCGAGAGCCAGACGTTCCAAAGGATCAGCTGAAAAGAGCTTAGCTTTGTGGCGGTCAGAAGACTTAACGATTCATCAGAAACTCTTAAAGCTACCTTAAAATTGAAGTGGAACGTTTGATTGCGTTTTTCCCTCGTTCCAAATGTATAAAACGTTCCGATTAGAGCCACAAAGCTAATGCCAATTGTTACGATCTCCTGGATCTTTGTCAGCACATCATTTCGACTAGCCTCGGCTGATATGCACAGCTCATTGTTCATCTCAACATTGGGCCTGAAACAACATATCAGTCGGGAAAATAATGAGAACACTGTCGCATTAAAGTCGCATCGCTGCCGAGAAAATGAACTATGTCGCAGAGAAAATCAAATTGCTTTTCAGTTCAGCTGTGCGTTGAACGCAGCCTCCTTTTGCCCTAAAAGTGACTCCTCTAAAATTACAACAAGGCTTTCATAAAAATTGTAGAAAATCCTTGTTGTAATAAATTCGCTGTACAGGAGTTTGACTCTATGTAGAGTAAATTTTTTGGCAAAATAATCCAGTCACAAGCCCCCTTCATACCAAAATAAATGAGTTCAAAATCGACAAAAATGTAGTCTCAACCTTGTTGGGTGAAAAATTGTGGCCGGAGATGAAAAAAGGTTTCGTAAATAGAGGACGTCAGCTCACGAAATTCGAGTTAATTAGATTTTGGTTTTTCTAACCACTCTTTTTCGCACAGTTTTAAATGTAGGCCAAGAAGGTGAAAAAACTTTCCAGATAACTTAATCGAGAACGTATCATAAATAGTTGCAAAAGAAATAATTGAAATGTTGACAAAAATAGCATGTTATGGAAATCTGCAAAAATGAAAATACAGTCGGATCTTTGATGTAGATAGCCCCGTTTATTAGTAACGTGCCTAGGGCAAACCTTATACGAACTACACAATATTCCTTTTTGTGCGGCCCGTAATTTTCTCAGGAGTTCGTATTTATAATATTTGTGTGATAATACGCCGTTCTAAAACACCCTTACTAGGCGGGCAACAAGGTCCACAAGGAGACATGTTTTCGCATGGTTCGGTCGGCGTCGAACGACAATATAACCGTAAAAGTTTTTAACTGATTATACAATAAAAAAAGTTTTTGAGAAATTTTAGTTCTCATAGTGACCAGAATCAATCGGTTCACTAGTGCAAAAAACAAAAAATACTTACCAGTGAGAACCAATAAGTTATTGCTTCTTGGACAGGCTTGTTTTCTATGGCCGGGAAAGGGTGAGTGGCCACCGACCAAGAGCAAAGCACGAACAAGACCGTGTAGTTGGCGGTGTCCACCAACTTCCTTAATTTTGCGCAGTTTTCCCTTGCATCGGTTATGCGGATCATAGAGTCCATGGCCGAAGATGAAAAAACGAGTTTTAATGATACAACATAAAAGCAGTTTTAACAGGCAATGTACAATCGCAATTTTAATTTTAGAAAACACCAAATATTGTTTCGTCTTTGCAAAAGCATCAGTTATGATCCCCCTTTTCCATATCAGCAAAGGTTTCCTAGCCCACTTTATGCAAAATTTTTGAGAAAATTTATAACTTTCAAATTATCTACTAATTACGCGATTTTGCCGCTTACTACAGTATACGTACGGTAAAAATGGGAGCGTATTGCTCTATGTCAAAACCAAAACCAACCTTAATAGGGAGCAGACCGCACACCATTACTTGCGGACGAGTGGGCCTGTCTGGCATTTATCGTGGCAGAACTGCCTGCCCTTGATCATTCCTCGGGGCTTCGGTAGTTCAGCCCCCCACGAAAGGTAGTTCAAACCCTCACTGTTTTGCCCGTTTCACACCCCACATAATGAACAAATTAGAATAATACAAAAAATGTAAGTGGGGGTTTGGTCTACTACGTTGGGGGTTTGATCTAAAACGTAGGGGGCTTGACCTAAAACGTAGGGGGCTTTATCTAAAACGTAGGGGGCTTGTGCTGGACCATACAACTTGGATTAATTCTTTGAAATAAATTTTGTGGTTCAGAATGGACGAGGGGGGTTGTACTGGGTCATGGGGGGCTAAACTGGACTGGGGGGCTGTACTACCTTAGCCCCCATTCCTCTTCTTTCGCTTATATTGGGTCCATCTGAGGCTGGCCAGCATCACGTTAATGATGACAGCGTAACAAGCTGCAGCCGTAGAACAAAAAGGGTACTTTTGAAAAATTGCCGCAACGATTGTGTAGACAGCATTACCAACATTATAACACATTTCATGGTTTTCGGGTTCCATTGCGACGTCGGGCTGTGTGTTTGCCGAGAGCACAAACAAGGAAGCGTAGCAGAATGTCACGCTTACCGACATTATCTAAAGAATTTTGTTGTAAAAATCTAATTTTTAAAAGTGAATGATTAGTACATCAAATAGTCCTTATCCAGAGCTTTCTAACGCTATATTACACAAGTTTTTTAGCCACATCACCGTTGCATAATTTGAAAAATAATTTTTTTCCAAAAATCAGGCATATTTCAAATACTTTCCATAAATGGGACCTGTTAATCGCAGCGTTAGGAGTTGAAAAAGGTTAGAAGATGTTCAGTTAGCCTCTGAGTTAATCAACCAGCAAAAAGATGTAAATTTTGCCCTAATTTCCACTAGTTCCACCAAAATCTAGCTTTTGATACCTAAAATCCGAAAAAAATCAAAATTTTTAGTTTGCACACCCATCGCTGCAACCGCACATACTTTAGATAATCTCAAAGCTTCCCTTTTCCAGTAAAAGTAAAATTACTACGCTTGAAATAAAACTTTATAGGGGTTCAATTATTTCTTGTTGCAAAAAAATCAAAAAACTGAAAAGCAATATCTTTCGATCGGCAAGGGCCGAAGTTTTTACAGATTTTGCACAATTTTCGCATCGAATGTTTGTCTAAATTTATCTTGGAAACTTTTTTTATTAATATTTTGTCCTTTTGAATTATTTTTTGGGTTACGGTTGTTGCTGGATGCCCACGGAATCCATCAAATCACTTATCTTGCAAATTTTTTACATACTCAAAAGCCTTCGATTTGTCGATGAAAACGAATAAAAAAGTGATTAAAATTACAATTTATCCCGTCAAAATTCAAAGAATACAATTACGATCAAAGCGATGACTATATAACCACCAATAACTTCTCTTCTCTTCGCCATCGAAGGTGCCTTTTCTACGTAATCTTCGTCATCGTCCGAGTCTTCATCGTCCGGTTCATTCTCAGCCGGTTTCTCCGGTGCCTTCGTAGTGGTAGTCGTTGTCTTTGCAGTGGTTTTCGTTGGCCTCACAGAGGTCGCCGTTGGATTTGCAGTGATAGCCGTTCCCCCCGAAGGGGCCGGCGCTGGCCCCGCAGAGGTCGCCGTTGTGTTACTGTGCTGGAATCGTCGACCATTTGAAAAGAAGGGGTCGTCCAGCTCGATCAACGGCACCAAATATCGAATGTTGTGGAAGCCGGGGACAAGCGATCCGCTGAACTGGATGTCGTCAGGGATGTGCCAGTTGGTTCTGCAAACAAAGGCTTATACGAGGACAGAAAACACACTCATTGGCTAAAACTTTCACTCACCCGGTAAGGGAGTCGTGTATGAAAAAGGCGCATCGTTTCCCATCTAAAAATGCCGAAAATTATTTGGTACAAAAACTTGTAAAACATAGCCAAATCAAAAAATAAGGCCAATTTGGAAAAATATGGCCAGGTCGTAGAAAATGTGGCCAAATCACAGAAAATATGGCCAATTATTGAAAATGTGACCAGCTCCTAAAAAATGCGGCTAAACCATAGCAAATGTGGCCAAATCGAAGTAAAATTCTTATTTGGCCACATTTCTGTCGATTTGGCCACATATTTGTCCCTTGGACACATTTTATGCAATTTGGCCGCATTTCTTACACTTGGCCATATTTTTCCGGAACTGGCCGCATTTTCCCCCGATTTGGCCATATTTTCCTCGACTTGGCCACATTTCATAGATTTGGCCACATTCTCAAATTTGGCCATAACCTAACATTTTTCCTTAGTTTTGGCGCCGTCCGGACAACACCTGGCCTTCGTCTTCACATTTGAATTTCCAGAACGCCCCTACCTACTCCACTCACGCCCAAATCAACCTACTAGCATATGTGCAGCGGGAATGAACGATCAAATCATTTCTCATATAGAGGACTTCACACTGCAGAGCATAATGCGTCTTGTTTTTCCCGTCAATGTTCAACGCACATGAGCCTCTGCCATGGACAGCCTGAAACGAAAAATATAATAAGATCAAATTTCTGTCAGACAAAATGATTAATAGTGCTGTGAGTCGCTGGAGGGACTTGGGCGACATGCACGGTGCAAAAACAAAAGTTCCGTTTTCACTGTGAAATTTCTTGCTTTTTTGCGCCGTGCAGGGTTTTTTGGGATATCGCTCGCACCCTGACAGTGGAAAAGTCAAAAATCAGTCCATCAACTTTCCAAGAGGACTAATAGCATTTTCATAAAGTGCGTAGACTTTTTGCACCGTGCTTTTTTTGCGCCACACATCCTTTTCAAGACATGGCCACCGCCCAAAAAAAATTAAGCATTGGAAAAAAAGGTGCGAGACATGCTGAGGACATTTTATACAATGAAAAGATAGCAAGGCTCAGCGTAGTTTAGGCTTAACCTAAGCTCAGATTAACGCTTAGGCTTAGGCTGGGTTAGGCTTCTTTTAGGCTTAGCCTAAGCCTAGATCAGCGTCAGGCTTCTATTTTTTGCTGAGCTCGCCTTCGCCTGAATTTTCATTTTTTGGGGTGGTGGCCAATCTCCGGGACTTTTTCGCAAATCCCAAAAAATCACCCCAACGACACTTTACAAACGGACAAGTAATATATAAAGTATTGAAAAGATTTTTTACCTTAAAACAGTCACTAATCCAGCTGTCATCCACTCCACCTTCTCCAAGACCACTTATATTCTTTGGGTTTGTCTTTACCACCTCCTGATCACACAACGTGCTCACATCGACGGCTGTGTCCTTGTTCAAGATCAAATTCCCACCGAGGAAGAACATCTTTTCGCGGTTCAGAGTGGCGTGTTTTTCGCTGTGCCCACAATAATATTTCCCCTCATTTTGGGAAGTCCCATTAGCAGGCTGGATTTTGACTGTTCCGTTGGCGTCCGGGCTGAAATCAAGGTAACGTAAAGTCGAGTTAGAGGAGACTGTAACATATTCTGGCCTACTGTCGTAAAAAACTGTTATAATTTTGACCTTTTTGCAGGTTGCTAAGAGTGGAAAAGGATTAAAATCCCTAAGGCTAGACAGAACTCAAATCCCAGGTAAAGGCTAGGGCGCAGCTTGGAAAACTGTACTTTTTGAAATGTGCCAAAAAATAAAAATTGTACCCATTATTGGGCTAGACCAGGGCCTTAGAAAACATAAAAACCCGAAGGCTATTTAAAAACCAAGTTCTAGGTAAAAGCTAGGGCGCAGCCTGGAAAAGTAAACTTTTTGAATTGCGTCAAAAGTTAAAAACTGTACCTTTTTAGTCTCTGCAAAGGTCTCAGAAAGCATAAAAACCCCTAAGGCTGTCAAAAACCTATATCAAAAACATTAAGAGTAATAATATTTGAACATAAAAATTCACTTACATTTGAAGGAGTTTGAGCTGTCTTTTATCGTTGATTTCCACAAGGTACGGCTGAAATTGACCGTCCGAAAAAACTGGATAAAGAAGATCGGCTCCGAATTCCTTTAGTTTGATCGGAGCTCCTTCGTTCATTGGCTGGTCCAAATGAGCTAAAAGCATTTTTATAGTCATGTTTTACGCCAAATTCTACAAAAGTTCCTTGCAAACTTCATAAAAAAATTTTTTCGAGCTGCATAAACCCCCAAAAATTTTTTCTCGAGCTGCGCCCAGTATTCCATAGAAGAAATTTTTCCTAGCTGCGCCCACCCCCCAAAAAAATAATTTCCTCCGAGCTACGCCCACTCTAAAAAATAATTTTCTCCGAGCTGCGCCCACTCAAAAAAATAATTTTCTCCGAGTTGCGCCCACTCTAAAAAATAATTTTCTCCGAGCTGCGCCCACTCAAAAAAAATAATGTTCTCCGAGCTGCGCCCACTCAAAAAAAAATAATTTTCTCCGAGCTGCGCCCACTCTAAAAAATATTTTTCTCCGAGCTGCGCCAACTCTAAAAAATATTTTTCCCCGAGCTGCGCCCACCCCCAAAAAAATATTTTTCTTCGAGCTGCGCCCATTCCAAAAAAAATATTTTTCCCCGAGCTGCGCCCACCCCAAAAAATATTTTCTCCGAACTGCGCTCACTCTAAAAAATATTTTTTTCCCAAGCTGTGCCCACTTCAACAAAAATAATTTCGCCGAACTGCGCTCTAGCCAACGTATTTTATAAAAAAATAATCTAACTCACTCTGAGCCAAATATTCAAAGGTGTCGTTCGCTTTGTGGTGGATGACCCAAAATCTCTTGAAATCACCGGTCTGGATCGGTTTGCAGTGGGGACAAAAGTTTTCTCTCAATTTCTCCGCCGAAACTTGCTCAGGATCATCCGGAACTTGAGCTTCCGTCCCTGGAGCGTCCGTAACTGGAGCGTTTGGAGCAGTAGCGTTGTTAACTCCAGCGTCCGTAACTGGAGCGTCTGGAGCTGTAGCGTTGTTAACTCCAGCGTCCGTAACTTGAGCATCAAGCAGGGGGAGGAGAAGGAAGACCAGAAATATTGGAGACCGCCGCATTTCTGGGGTCATCGAAGATGAATGAGGGGTTTTTTGGTAGCGAGCAATTCGGTTCCCAAGCTTCTAACACGTTTAGTGCAAAATTTGCATGAAATCCGAATTTTTGCGAATTTCGGAACATTTTCATTGTGAGTGAAGGAAGGTTGGTTGACCGTTCTTCGAGAGGTCTGAAAGTTCAAATTTCTCAAGATTTCCAATTTTTTCGAAGTTTGCATAATCGAAGTTTGGAAGCGGGAGACCCTGAAAAATGTCATTGGAGGTGCTTACGAAGCTTGACGAAGCCGTCGAAAGCCTTGCGGGCTCTCAATAGAGACTTGGCGGAGATTAAAAAAATCACGTTTTCTAATTGTACCTATTGCTAACCTTAGTCTTCTTGAGCTATTATAGCATGGAAAAGACGAAAACTTGCTCGAAAAACGAAGAAAGTTTTTGTAGAAACACCCAAAAATAGCTGATAAACTTTCCTAGGACGTGATTAGTCTTATTATTTCTATGTCTTCTCCTAGCCTCCCCTATGCATACAACGACGAATTGTTGCGACCCAATGTATCGTCGAGCCGAACTGTCGTTGATCTTACAACTCAAAGCACCGAAACGGTTCACAAAAACTTAATAAACGCAAAAAAATCAAAAAAAATTAATTTTAAAATCAAGCGAACATAATTTTAAAAAATTGCAAAAGATCCTAATGGCACCATTTCCTAGTTCAAAAACGCCTATAATATTTCACAGTGCAGTTTTCTTGTTCAAAAAAGCCTACGACTTTACACAGTGCAATTTTCTAATTTAAAAAAGCCTGTAATTTTGCACAGTGCAAATCAAAAAAAAACTTGCTGATCTCATCATAAAAATAATCAATGAATTTGAGAAAATAACCAAGCCAAAACACCATAACTTTAATAAATTCCAACAATCACAATCCAAAAACCACTGCAATACCAAAAAAACAATCAAAAAATCCAAAAATCAACGACAAAACTTTAATCAACCAAACAGAAAAACAATGTTCAAGGGTTGTACTCGATGGGGAGGTTCTTTCTGCGGACCATACCGTCGCCCTGGAACCACTCGCGGCGGAACTGCTTGGCGGCTCCATCGGGGGTGTTGGTCCATTCGATGGTGATACGGTCGTTGTTGGTGTCCTCCTGGCCGTAGCTGAAGGCGTCGCAGGAGACGGCAACCAAGACGGACTCCTTGGGGTCGAGGACTCCGCATGGAGGGTCGACGCCGAGACGCTTCATGTTGGTGGTCTTGAAGGCCCATCCGATACGGCGACCACCGGCGTTGATGACCTGGAAAGGGAGAGGGTTTATATTCAAATTTAACGGGTTTTTATCAAGTTTTATCAAAGGTTATCGAAAGGTATCAAAAAGTATCAAAGAGGTATCAAAGGGTATTAAAAGGACTCAAAGGTATCGAAAGTTATCCAAAAAAATCTAAGGGTCTCAAAAAGTATCAAAAGGTATCAAAAAGCCTCAAAAAACAACAGTTTCAAAACGTATCCAAAAGTATCAAAAGGTCGCAAAAAGCATCAAAAGGTCTCAAAAGGTCACAAAAAGGTATCAAAAGGCCTCATAAAAATGACAAAGGTTGTCAAAAGTTCCAAAATTGTCTGTACAGTACCGCAAACCAAAAAGATACCAAAGGTGTGAGAAAGTGCCAAAAGGTATCCAAATGTATCAAAAAGTATCAAAAGGTATCGTAACTCCCAAAAATTCCGGTACTGCACCAAAAACCCTTCTATCTCACTCCAACCTGCTAAATGATGCCAAAAGCTCTTCAAACTTCTCAAAAATCTCAAAAACCCCTCTACAGCACCCTCAGCCTCATCCCCAACTCTCACCTTGATGTGGTAGGTGTGCTTGTCGTCGTACGGGGCATTGAAGACGACCTTGGTGCCGGGCTGGGTGGTGATGTCTCCTGGAGGAATAGATTGGGCCATTGCGACGAGAGAGCGAAGCGAAACACGATCGTGTGGCCATTCTTCGCTCCACCCACCGCTTATATACCACCGATTTTCGTGCGAATTCGAATTTTTCGAATGAACTTTGAAATTTTCGAAATTTTTCGATCAAAAAATCGGTCTAAGTTTTCGATTTTTTCACGATATTTCGCACGAAAAATTCGATTTTTCTCTCGAATTTTCCCAAAATTTGCGTATTTTCAACCCAAAATTTGCATATTCCCGGCGAAAAAATTTCCTCCCGTATAAAAGCGGTCGTAGCACAACGGAAAGCCCTTCAGTCGAGAGTCTCTTCGCGTGTCGTGATGCCGAACCGTGTGCCGCCCCTCGAAGACACCTGGGCCTTCCAGCCGATCGGCTCGCCCTTCCCCGAGAACCCCGTCAAATGCCTGAACCAACAGAACATGTACGTCGCGCTCTGGTACAAGAATGGAAAGGTGAGTTGTGGGGAGAGATTTGATGGTTGGGAAATAGGATGTTTGAGTTACGTAGGGTTACGGTAGGCATTTTTGGTTTTACTGTGCAGTCACGATACTTTTGATTTTGATGTTTGAGTTACGGTAGGCTTACGGTAGACGCTTTAAGTTTTACCGTTGCGATTTTTTGATGTTTTTTTTGTTTTTAATTTTCGCACTGTGCAACGGCGACATTTTTAATTTTCGCACTGTGCAACGGCGACACTTTTTAATTTTTGCACTGTGCAACCGCGATGTTTTTAATTTTCGCACTGTGCGACGGCGATGTTTTTAATTTTCGCACTGTGCAACCCCGATGTTTTTGATTTCCGCACTGTGCAACCGTGATTTTTTTTTATTTTTGCACTGTGCAATGGCGATTTTAATTTTTGCACTGTGCAACGGCGACATTTTTAATTTTCGCACGGTGCACCCGCGATGTTTTTAATTTTTGCACTGTGCAACGGCGACATTTTTAATTTTCGCACGGTGCAACCGCGATGTTTTTAATTTTTGCACTGTGCAACCGCGATGTTTTTAATTTTCGACGGTGCAACCGCGATGTTTTTGATTTCCGCACTGTGCAACCGTGATTTTTTTTTTGCACTGTGCAACGGCGACATTTTTGATTTCCGCACTGTGCAACCGCGATGTTTTTAATTTTTGCACTGTGCAACCCCGATGTTTTTAAATTTCCGCACGGTGCAACCGCGATGTTTTTGATTTCCGCACTGTGCAACCGTGATTTTTTTTAATTTTTGCACTGTGCAACGGCGACGTTTTTAATTTTTGCACGGTGCAACCGCGATGTTTTTAATTTTTGCACTGTGCAGCCGCGATGTTTTTAATTTTCGCACTGTGCAAAAGCGATGTTTTGGATTTTGCACAGTGCAGTGATGACTTTTAGAGTCTGCACGGTGCAAACAAAAGATTTTGGGCTTTTGCACGGTGCGATGAAATTTTTGGTTTTGCACTGCGAAGATAAAAATGCGCCAAATTTTTACGCACGGTGCGGTCTCAAAATTTTACAATCCGCACGGTGCAATTCGTGAAACGGAATTTTTTTTGATTTTGCACGGTGCAATCAAAAAATCCGGAATTTTTTCGGGTGGGCGGAAAAATCGTGACAACATTTGGGTCATTGCACCGTGCAAGTCAAAAATTTTCTGTTTGCACCGTGCAGTCGGAAAATTTGGAATTTCGCACAGCGCAAAATGTTTTCGGGTAAATTTTTTTATTCCTTTTTATTTTCCAGCCCATCCATGGTCGTGCCTGGAACAATGGTGGAGTTGTGGAGTGCTCGTTCCCCTATTTGAAGGCCGAGCTGACCGGAGCCAAGGATTTGGCCGGCCAAATCCAGGTCCTTCAGTACAAGGGAGACCATCGTTCTCTCGGCTACTGGTACAACTGGATCAAGTACTCGGAGCGTTTGGACAAGGACGCCAAGGAACGTGAGCTCGTCCGCTGCGGCGATTCCATTCCTCTGCTCTGGCTGGACCGAAAGGAAGGCGCGTTGTTGGGCTATGTGGACAATAAGACGGAAATTGCCCGCTTCTCCCATGACGGAAAGGCCGAGGATCTGCAAGGACCGGCCCTCAGCAGCATGTACATCATTGTCCGAGAGTATAAGGGTAGGTTGAGCGGGAAGAGTGGGAAAATCTAGGACATTTGACTTAGCCATCTAGTACAGTGACGGACCTGATCCAGTGGCAAAAAACGTACCATTTTGCATCCGGGAGGTATCAAAAATGTGGCAAAATGCCTCCCTCTCCAAGTGAAGAACTTCGTTTTGAAGGGAACCTTTTGAAATTGGAGTTTTTTCACTTGGAGAGGGAGGTAATTTGCCACATTTTTTGATACTTCCCGGATGCAAAATGGTACGTTTTTTCCCACTCATCAGGTCCGTCACTGTACAAAAAAAATTTTATGTGAATGATTTTCAAAAAATTTTCAGATGGACCCGAGGCCTGCGAGTGTAATGAGTGCGAAGCCCGACGTGCCAAGCCTCAACCGGTCCCCAAGCCTATTGTCCGTGTCATGTTGAACGAATGGGCCGACTTCCGTGCCGGCGATCCCTTCCCACCAACCAAGTGTGTCAGAGCGCTGTTCCGCTCGCTCACCACTCTGCCTGGCGAGAATCCCGATCAGTATGTGGCGCTGTGGTACCAGGCCGGCGAGCCGGTCATGGGACGCATCTGGAACGAGGGAGGAAAGATTGCGGCCAACTTTGGATGGGGAGGACACGAGTACAAGAAGAATATTGGATCGTTGCAGGTGGGTTAGACTGCTAGGAGGCTTTTAAAAGCTTTCTAGAGAGTCTAGGAACTATTGGCGCTACTTTTTAGGCAACTAAAATATTTTTGATACACTAATTTTTGGTTTTCTAAATCTTGACCTATATTGGATCGTTGCAGGTAGGCTAGGTTGTTAAAATCCCCTAAGAACCTTTGTAGACGCCTTAGGGACTATTGGCGCTACTTTTTAGACAACAAAAATCTTTTTGATCCACTAATTTTTCGATTTTTTCAATCTTGACCTATCCCCCTACTACAATATCAAATTTCAGGTCCTGTTCGAGCTGCCCGAGCACGTTCGTGGTTTCGACTACGCCTGGAAGCCCTATCCAGAAGCCGCCGCCCAAGGCGAGAAGGAATGGGTCCCGGTGCACGTGGACAATGGCAAAGTCAAGGTTTCCCCAGCCGTTATCATCCTGGACGGAAAGGAGATCCTCGGCAAGGTCGACATTCGCAACGAACGCGCCTCTGCCGGCTATGGAGGAACCGAGAAGGTCCTGGTTGGTGGCGCTGTCCACGCTTCGACCGTCCTGTGCCGCAAGGCCAAGGCCGGCTGCAAATTCGATTAAAGTTCGCGTAAAATGAGTAAATGTTCTTTATTGTTCGAGATTGACCGAATTTTGACCCCGAATATTGTTGTAAACGCCCTCCTACGCCTTGCTCTGCCACTTGTACTATCGAGACGTTGTTTTCGGCAGTGAAAAGGGCAAGACACCTTGTCCTTTCTATATTATACTAGCAAAGGACATGCGATTGATCTCATAGACAAGGTCATTCAACCATTGATAAGATTTCCTCATCAAAGCAACGTAAACACCTTGATCTTTCGTCCACTTTCTCTTTCCAATCTACTTTTCTTCCAATTCCCAAAATAAAATATTTTCCAGAAAATCCGTCATCGTGACACACTTTTAAACTGCTGTAGCTTGTTGAAATTTCATTTGTTTCGATGTAACGAAGAGTGCTGAATTCCATAAAAATAAAAGCGAAACCATACCAGTCGTATTTTACCCGAAAACGGCCAAGTTACTGACGGATTTTCCGGAAGGGCTGACGCATTTTATAGAAGTTTTGGCCGAAGGATTTTTTCTCGCTCTCGTGTTTCATCTCAGCTCTCGAAACCTCCGTATTTACCATTCCGACTCGTGTTTTCGACCATCGATTATATTTAGACCCCTTCCGGATTCAAATACCACAATGAGATTCTGGGAAGCGTCGAATTATTTATTCAACTATGCCTTCAACGAAGTCTCCACCGTCTTCTACGAAAGATACCCAAACTCGTATGCTAAGCACATCATGAGCGAAGATGTGATTGACCGACAGATCACAAAAGACCAGATTATCACCAGGAAATTGATTGTGAAGAAAGGTGAGTTCAATTTTGTGATTGCTCTTGGGTTTTAGGCTTGTTTTGATGAAGGTGAGGGCAGATGGACGCGCACTTTCCCGGTGGGCTTTTAGAGAGGGGCTTGGTGCTTCTAATTCTAAAATAGCTTTTTGAAAGGGTGGGAATAATCTATTTTTGGGATTTCCTTTATGTTATACATGCCAAAAATAAAATTTAGTGTTTCAAAGGGAATTCGAGAGTTTGATTTGGTTCTTTTTTGTTTGTGAGTGGGGGAATATTATTGTCAAGCTGTACTTGAAGTTTTTTGGGCGAGTTTAACTCCCATCTTTTTGTTTTGACTCAAATTATCTTATCCATCCCACATAAAATTAGGTCTTCTATTCTCTTTCAATTTAGGCCGCATTTTGAACAGTTTAAAGGCGTATTCATAGGAAAACACCTAGTTTATAATTTCCATAATGGTGTGGACCTCTTACACGTTGTTTCATTCTTTTATGTCGATATTATTTTAGGTAACAGTTTCTTGAACGCCGTCCCGAAATGGATGAGTCGTCTGGCTTCCGTGAAGACGATTCCAACAATTGAGGAGAGCATATTCGATAGAAGGACGAGGAAGCTAACAACATACACAAGAAACGTTTCATTTCGAGACATTCTGATCCTTGACGAGAAATGTTATTATCATCCAGTGGTAAGCTCGTTTTTTCCTTTTGATTTTCGGTTTTTAGGATCAGAACAAGACTGAGGTTCGTCGAGAAGTGGCCTGCGAAGTGAATTACGGAAGATTCTCGGGCCTAATTGAGAAAGTTATCCTCATGACCTTCCGGAAAACAATCAAGAAGACGTTGGCTGGATTTAACGAGAAGCTAGAAGAGAGATTTGACCGACATGCGAATCAACGGAATCTGGGTATCACTTCATTTCGTGGTCAACCAATTTCGTTCGACAAAGCTTGAGTGATCTGGAGAATTTTTTGACATCTAAATTAATATTGGTAATTCAATGGTGTTGTCATCGTAATACAGAGTCTTTACTAGTATTCTACTACTAATTTCTTCCCGAATTTTCAATTCAAACTTTAAAAAATTAAGTTTTATATCTGTTGTATATTACACTTGGCCGATGCCTGCCATTCCACCAGTCCCTTCTCAAACGTGAAGCGCTTTCTCCCACGTCCAGTTCTCGCTCCCGGCGTTGTTCAGAATCAAATTTCTGGTCTCACATTGTTGTGGCCTCCGAAATCGAGGCGCTGTTTTTAACTTGTTCAGTTTTCATACGAAATTTATTGTTGATCTGTTGTATTTTCACCGCAAGTGGAGCGATTTTTTGTTCCACAAAGGAATAAAGAGTTTTATCGGAGTTGACTTTGAATTTCAGGTGTTGGACTATCTGTTTTTCGCAGATTTTTATACTTTTATTAGTTTTTAGTACCTATTATAACAGTTTTGATGGTTTCACATTTTTTGAAGGTGATTTTTTGGCGTTCAAGAGATTTTTAGAGATAATGTTGAATAAGTTTTATGAATTATCCCAATTTTTTGCCATTTGTCGAGTTCCTCTGTAATTTCTGACCATTTTTACATACCTTACCTACTACAATATAATTTTAATTTTTTTCAGGGCTCTATGTCCACTGTGTGGAAAGCTTTGTGTGTTCTGAGTCTCGTATCGCTTGCTCATTGTGCCTACTCAGCAGCTCAGCACAGATCCTTCCTTCGGCTCGTTCAGAAAGAATTCACCAGTCTTCCACTGGATATTGTAATACAGACCTTCGTGTCGCTGCTGGTCGCTGTTTTTGCCTGTGCCCATATTGCTGGTGAATTCCAGTACATCCGAAACGATCAAACGGTAAGATTTTTTATTTTTTTTGTTGGTTTTTAGAACAAAATAATCATGGATAATATCGGATGGAACTTGATGTTAAATACGAGAGGCTGATGTTATATTTTCAGCCCAAGAAAGGCGTCTGGAACCAGGTGGGCAATCGCGTCAACTTCTACATCTTCGAACATCGCGCAAAATGCTTCCAGCCAAAGTTCGATTGATCCCTCGGGCATTCCGCCGATCTGCTCATTCCTCAGCTCAAACCAAGAACCTGGAGTAAGATATCACTTAATTTATAACCTAAATGCTCTTCTTTTGGTCTCGGCTACTGTGATTTCGTCACGGTAGCTATAGTTTTTTAGTTTTCGGTCTTTTTTTGCTAATAAATTGATAAAATAAGGAAACTTTGATGGAATTAGCTAAAAATTTTTATTGAAATTATTTGAAAACACTTGTAAATGAATGAAAATGGCTTATCATTTGTTTTAAGCCCTCTCCACCACTGCCGACAACTCGTCCATCGCCACGATTACGAGCATTTCCTCACCATCCAATTGATCAAGGATAACGAAATAAAGTCCGCTTTGCTCTCAATTCTGTCGCTAAATGTGGAAATATCACTGATTCGAGCTAAAATACGCCCGAATTCGGGAGTTGACGGGATAAATCAGCTGAAATTTTGGAAGGATTCGATGAAAATCTTGGCTGGATTGGAAAAAGGGCCAGTCCCACGGTAAGAAATGATTTTCTGGAGAGAAATTTTGATGCGAAATTACAGTAGAATGGTCTGGAATTACTGTAAGAGCTTTTATTTTCAGCCAACCGACGATCAAAGCGCTCCAGGCAAATTGCAAAATTGATCAAACTAAACTAATATTATTGGAGAATTTGGTGACTGCGAGACAGCAAACCCTCGGAGATCGACCTTTCAAGGATATGACGAGCCTAGAAGAACATTCCAAACTTCTCAACTCATCGTTAATTCAATTGCTGGCGTCGGAATTGGGCTCGGATTCAAATTCGGAGGCCCTCAAAAATGTTGCGGACAAAATTGGAGTTTCGCTGGGCGTAACCACTCTTATGAGGTGAGTTTGCAAAAAGTCGCAAGGTGAATTGCCCTGAAAATTCGAGAAAATGGTTTTTTTCGCTACTTTTCTGTTGGTTTTTGAGCAAGACGCAAAAAAACACTTGAAGAGCCTTTCGTTTCGTTTTCCGAAAAGGCCAAAAGAAAAAGAAGCGAAGCCGCGAGTGTGCCCGGTTAGCTCAGTCGGTAGAGCACCAGACTCTTAATCTGGCTGTCGCGGGTTCGAGCCCCGCATCGGGCTAAGGCACTTTTTGCGGGAATTTTTTATTTTTTGGGTGAAAAAGTGGAAAATAAAAATTTTTGAATGGTTTACTGGGTATTTATTCGGTTTATGCAGGCTGAAATAACGATTTTTTAAAGGTTTTTTATGGAAAAAGTCGAAATTTTTTTTGAAAAAATAATTTTTTTTCAGAGCGACTCTTCCGTTATTGAAAGAAGGAGTAGTAATGCTCCCTCAAGACCTCCTCCAAATTCACGGGCTCACTCCAGATCGCGTCTACAACAACAAAAACCCAGAGGCATTCAAAGCGCTAGTCAAGGATTTGTACAGCACCGCTGAAATCAGCCTTAAATCTGCTCGAAAGTTGTCGGCGGAAATTCCGGCAACCAAAAGACCGGCATTTATGGCGTCAGCCTTGAAAATCGATCATGCTTTGAAGTGTGTGAAACGGGCGGACTACAGTCTGTTCACCAAGGAATTGCAGCAACATGGCCCGTTTGCGGCGACGGTTTTGTGGTGGAGATTCAAAAGGAATCGTTTTTAGGGGTTGTTGTTATACAAATTTTGAAAAGATGATTTTTTTTTGTTGTTATAGGGAAGTAAAGTTATTTGGACAAATTTTTTTTAGAGCAATGGTTAAAAATTTTTTTGAAATTGTGAGCTAAATTTACGGCTAATCTCAACAAAGTTCAAAAAAATTTTTATAGATTTTATTGTATTATTCAATGAAAACTGTAACAAATATAACAACGGGTATCAACAAAAACTTTTAAAACCGGTATCAACAAAAAATTTTTTCTAATAAAAAAGCAACTATTCATAATATTCAACAGGCTCCCTCTCAAGTCTTGTACTATACAGGAGAGCCGGTTCCCTTCCGTCCTCGATTAGATACATTCTTTGCGCATTATGCGTCAAAACCCCCAGGATTTGGTTTGAATGGCGATTGATTCGGAGGGCTTCAATCGGTATGGTCGTAATTGTAATCCCTCGTGGGGACTTGGAGAGAATCTAAAATGAAATCAAAATTAAAAGTTAAAAAAATTTCAATATTTTGTACAATGAAAAGCAAAGAAATTTAACTCACTCTCATGGTCATGCTGGTTCCCTCTATTGCCTGGTAAACGAATGTATGGGGGTTGAGAAGTAAAGATGGCCGTGTTCCAACTTCAATTTTCTCTATTGTCTTCCCCTTCAAACAGCATTGCATGATCAAAACGCTGTCTCTCCCTTCCAAAACCAAATGTGTGCCGAATGCGTGGATGTTTTGAAGCTGAAAAAAAATTTTATTGAAATAATATATTTTTGAGATTTTTGAGGGAAATTTTGATTAAAAAATTACAAAAAATGTAAAAGATATGATATTTTTTGTATTTCAATCTCCTTTAAAAAAATAAAAAAAATAAGTTTTTTTCTTACCATTCCGGGCTCCCAGCTGATCGTTTTCTCCAATATTTTTCGGCTTTTGAGGTCTCCATAGACCATACATAATTCAACACCATGATGACATACCATATGAAAATGATGACCGTCAACAGCGATGTAAAATTTTCCAGTCATAGCAGTGCGTAGCAGTACTCTTTCAGGCCTATTTTTGGTCAATCTTTTCTTGTAGACTAGAGTTTCCTCTTGGAATGAGGTGAAGTAGATGCTTTCAGTCTGAGAATCGTAGAAGAATGCGGAATTCTCGAGATCCCCGGACATCTGAAAAACAAAAAAATATATTTTGAAGAATCTCCTACACGTTAAAAAATTCTTAATTTCCTCCCAAATCTCCGAAGTACCCAAAAAATCCCTCGTAAACTTGCCTTAAAATTCGCCTTGAACATTTTGGAGTGGTTCGTTAAGGCTTTCGCACTCTGACAGCTTGTTGTGCACACTTCAAGAAGTTCGTGGTGCCCTTTCTGACAAGTCGTTGCATAAGCCATTGAATTATTTTGGAGACCTCGTAGAGCCGGCTTATCCAAAACCGGTATATCCAAAATCAAGTTGACTTCTATTGTGGTGGTTCGCGGCCTGCCATAGCGGGTTTGGATGTACCAGTTAAGGAAACGACTGATGTTTTCTACAGCAGCGCCATTTCCAAAGCGAATGCAGTTTCCGTGACGGTTGCAGTTCTTTTTGAGGAATTTTATGGAGCTGAAAATATTTCAAATGATTCATAAAAAAAACAGTGGAACCTTACTGTAGTTTAAAATTTAAAAATCAAAAAAAAAAATCAAAAACTCACTTGATGAAGACTGTTACCCAGTCCTCTTTAGGCATTCTGTCGACGAGTTCGTTGATAAGGCAGATCTTCCGGAACCGGAGATTCTGCGCAACAAGGATCATCTTCCTGTCTTCTTCGGTCTTGGAGTTGGCAAACAGACGGACGACATCGTTGGCTTTGGAATGATTCAGAATTTGAATTCGGATCTGAAATCAGTGTCGTTTGAAATGCGACGTGGTATATTTTATAGATATTCTGGTTATAAGGGTCCCAAATGTGACGCCCAGCTTTCCTTTAAAATTTTCATACGGCTTGGGTATAGGACACATATCGATATTCTTTGGCCATAATTTTGCCAATTTTGGGCGGAAATTTTTTTTGGACCTTTTACGGTAAAAACAAGTAGAAATTAATCATAACTTTGTGCCGATTTTCTTATCAAATATCTGACCGTCTCTCTTTGAGTACATCTCTGGAAATCTTCCAGAACAAGAAAATTTTGCTTATTCTTAGCCATTTTTTAACATAGCAATCCCAGTACATCCCACAAAAATTCGAAAAATACCTACCTCCGCCGGGTACCTTCTGAGCATATCGAGGGCTTCTTGAGCAGTCATGGCCATTATCGCTGCGAGTAGATTATTGGAAGTGACTTGCACACGTCTGTATAGGGCAGGCAAACAGTTCTTCTTTTTCTATTTCGACAGAAAAAACCCGGTATTGCGTAATCCAAGCTTGTTTTTGAAGCAGAATTTTATTCTTTCTGCTCTTCTTACAGCGTTTTTTGTGATTAAAATTGCACTTGCAGGGGAAGTACCCCAAGTGCGACGCTCAGTTTTTTAAACTTGAATTTTTTCTGCATAGTGCAAATTTTTGGTTAAACTGGCACTGGAAAGAGCTTTGTATATTAGGCATACATAGGCCCCACTTCAGTCCTTGAAAGCTTCAACTCATGCCTTGCAGGCGCATCCTGATTGGGATCTATTCAACGGCCTTTGCGGATGGGAGAGAACGCAAAAGGCGAGCAGCGGTCAGAGAGAAAAGACGCTTTTTTGGCCTTATTTTTGCCAGTTTCGCATAGAAAGATCTGGATTTTTATGGAAACGTCTTCGGTGGGAAAAAGTACAAAAAAAATGATAAAATGATTAGAAAAAAGCTGTCCCGTTTTTGCCAATATACTTCCTAAAAATTTCTGTCATTCCTGCAAAGCACGAGCTCAAAGTCGTGCCTATTTCTTTGAAAAAAAATAATATCAATACGAGTTTCATCAAAAAGCGTCGCACTTGAAGTACTTTTTTTATTGTAAAATTGAAAAAATGATGATTAAAATCGGGCTAATATGTACATATGTTTAAAAACTCCTTTATTGAACAAAATAATAAAAAAAAAAAAACAGTTATTTACATACAGCATTACAAAACAATTTCAACCCGCTGAACAAAAAGCTCCCTGACAAAAAACTAGATAACAAACAATATAGTAAATTACTGCTACCTCCCATACAACGAATAAATGTTTCCTCGAGGCGGTTGAGGCCCGGGTTTGGCCTCAAATAAAAGCGAGGGATCTACTTTTTCGTCCTCAATTAGATATACGAATAAGGTGCCTCCAGACATAACTCCGAGGATCTGATTGGCGTACCTTCGAATCTGGTCGCCCGTCTTTCGTATCATGCTGACTTTCACTCCGTTTTCGGTTTTTCGGAGAATCTGAAAATTCGTTCTTTTCAAGGTTCATGCAAAGATTCTTTTTGGGAAACTTAACGATTTTTTGCGATAAGTTTTCCTTACCTTCACCACCGAAGAACCGAACGCGTCAATCCCGTTGAATGCGATGCAATGGGGGTTCAAGACAGCGATGGGACCAACGCCGCGTTCAACAAGTTTGGGTGGACTCTCCAGATTACTTCTGAACACAGCGATACGGTCATTTTGTTGCACTACTAGGGTGTCTTCAATTCCATGGATATTCAGGATCTGAAGGACATTAGTTACTACAGTTTTTATGATGAACACAGCCAGCAATCGGCGCTAAAACTCGTGCTTACACATCCTTGTTTCCACTGCAACAAACTCCTCGTAAACCGGCCTTCCCTCAGATCGCCGTACATTACATATAGCCCGTCAGAATTGTGACACACAAGGTGAAAATGATGACCATCCACGGCCATGAAGAACCTCCCCAAAGAGGGCGATTCCACAACAACTTGACGGTCACTGTCATCCGTCAAGTTCTTTTTGTAGATCTTGGAAAGCTCTGTGAAATAGACCGTTTCTGTTCGACTGTCGTAGTAGAAGGCGGACTGCTCAACGCGCGAATTTAGCTGAAAAAATGTCGTTTGAGGCGAGAATTTGCCCATGAATGGAAAGAAAGGGTAACTTTTACTATTATCACTCTGTCGGGAAAATAATGAGCACTCTGTCGCATCGAAAATCGCATCGCCGCCGAGAAAATGAATTTTGTCGCGGTAAAATCAAAAAGTTTTCGCTTGAGCGACGCGATTGGTGCGGCGACATTGTGATCATTATTTTTCCGACAAATCAATAGTATTTTACTGAAGTGCATGGACATTTTTTTACCTTGAACGAATACCTGTGCTCCTGCCATGCATCTGTGTAAAGTTGTATGCTCCTGTTGGGAGCTATCGATAAGCAAACTCTCTCGTGTTTCTGCCCAATCACCAACGTCTCTTCTTCCGTTTCGGGGCCTTGCAGCCTTCGCAAGGCCGCTTCTTTCGGAACTTTGAGCTTTATCTCAAATTCTAGCGCCTTGTCATCACCGGTCACCATTTTATTTCGATTCCTTAGGCAATTGTGCATATGCGAAAAGAGGTTTGCATCGCCCATTTGTTTTTTTCTGTCCATCCCGGCTGTGATTCCGTAGGTTTCTATTGCGGTTTTCAAATTGTTTAGGACTCTGAAAAACGAGGAATACTCTTTTTCAAAGAACTAACTTACTCAATAAAATAGTTTAGCCAAGACACTTCGGGAGTCTCCAGAACCAACTCGTTAATTAGACAGATTCTCCTAAATCGATGGCTTTGAGAGAAGGAAACAAAATTTCTACCGAATTTCTGGTGCAGGCAGATCAGTTCGGGCACCGCAAACCTGTAGAAGATTTTGTCTTGAATCTGAAAAGATAAGTTATAAAAAAAATATGTGATTTTGTGAAATCGGCAAGCCCTAGGTCTAGTTTTAGCTCTCATGACAAGAATGGTATGGCATTTAGACTTCCTCAAAATTACGCCCGTCATAGTTCATCTACAACACAAATCATTACCAGAAGATTCCGCCGAACGCTTTTCTAACACAGCCAAAATATTCAATGACCTTTGAAGGCAAGAAGGGACGTAGAGTGAGGAAGGCTTTCCAAACACGACAAGTACTGTACAAAAAATTTCTCAGCCGTATAAACACAAAATTTTCAAACGAAAAAATTTCTTTTTCGCCGTTAAAGTAACTGGCAAAGATCAGGGCAAAATGTGTTTTTCTCTGTGCTCGCTCTCCACGTTTTGTGCGCTCTCTCGGCCGCAAAGATTATTGAATATCACGGCGGCGCCTGCAAAGCTCGGGCTAAAACTTTCAGGAATTGATATGTGGCCGATGCCCAAAGTGCGTGCAAAATTTAAAGACAATTTGATAGTCAAAACATTTTTTCATACATACCTCAACGGACAGCCTCTCCAAGAACCGTTCAGTTACTCCAAACTCCATCTTCCTTCACAACAACGAACAAAATAGAATTAAAAATTAACGGTACGCACTAAGAGTTGTAGACGATATAATGAAGAATATACAGTTCGACAGCGGAATGCGATTTCCAGAGCAGAAAGCTAAAAAAGGTGACGTAATCACTTTATAAGTGGAAATAAAATGCACTTTTATACAGACAGCTTTTTTGCATTGCAGAAAATCGCTGGGTTAAGAAAGAGAAAAAAAAGAAAAATGGGACAAAATGGGACTAATTTTGAAGAACATTTGAGCAGTTGTTCCTTGGTAATTTAATTTTTTTTGGTTTCATGTGCACAGATTTTTATTCATACTTGGGTAATCTTTAGATGATTTTAAGACATCGCAAAGTCGCTGGAGTGATTTTCGCAGCATGCACTGTGCGAAAACAAAAGTAAACTTTGCACCGTGTAATTTCTGGCTTTTGGGGCTTTTTTGGGCTGTGGCTATTATGTAGCATTTTCACAAAGTGCCTGGATATTTTTTCGCTTTCGCACATTGCACCTTGAATTTTTGTCGCCAACGCACTGTGGATTTTTGCCTTTGCGCACCGTTCAAACCTCAAAAAAGCCAATTGCACTGTGCACATTTTTGAGCAAAACCGCAGCGGCGCAATTGAGAAGAACTTACGTCGCAGCGATATTTCAAATGCACAATGCAAAACCAAAAAAAGGTGAATGCACAGTGAAAGAGCCCGGAAATTTTTTCGGACGGTGCGGACCGCAACAAATGTCCAGGAACTTTGTGAAAATGCTAATATCAGTCTTTATCACTTTGTCGGGAAAATAATGAGCACTCTGTCGCATCCCTGCCAAGAAAATGAATTGTGTCGCGACGAAATCAAATTGCTCTTCACTTCGTCGCAATCGGCACAGCGACATTGTGCTCATTATTTTCCCGACAGACTGATTGTAATTGCCCAAAAAAGTAGTCATATTATCATCCGAATCTTTATTGCTTTTCTTTCTAACCAGCCATTTCAATACATCGAATATTATTAATAAATTGCCCTCTGGTCAAGAAATCCAAGGAATTTAAAGACTGATTGCCTCAGCATCTTCCGTACTTGACGTAGAGTCCTCGAGGCTGGAATGATCCCACTGACGTCATGGCGATAAAACACGGTTCTCTGTCGCCGGCTTCGAACAGGAATAAATGTTGGGTTCCGCGCCAAAACACGCCCAATATTTCGTTGGAGTATCGGTTGAGAAAGGCGCTCGGGAATCCGAGAATGTTCAATTGAGGGCCTTCTGCGTGCTTGCGGACCACCTGAAAAATCGTTTTTTAAGCCGTTAAAAAATAAAAAAAATCGTTGAAAAGACAAGTTTTCAAGGAATGGCTTCCAAGTGAACATTGTCCAGAAAGTAGTGAATTGTAAATGGTTATAGCTATTTTTTGGGGTTTTAATAAGCTAATAGGGGAAGTGATCCAAGTGCGACGCTCAGATTTCCTTCAAATTTTGGACACATTTCGGGGGCGGGCCCACACTTGACGTTAGATGTTGCGGATTAAGTTTCCAGGTGTAATAAGTGGCTTGAATAGTCATCATACGCTTATCCAGGCATTTTTTACCATTTTTTGAAAACAAACTCCCATAACTTTGAAAGCAGTGGATGAATATAATGGATTTGTGTACTTATCAGTACCAGGGAGTTGTCAATGTAAAATTTCTATCGTACTACGTAGAATACGGCAGGGAAATCGTAATTCTAATCAAAAAATATTGGCTTTTAGCTCGCGATTTCCAGGGGCAGCCGAGATATTCGGTGAGCTTTCTGAGTGACTACGCGAAAAGCGGAGAGCGGTCAGAGATACAATAACACTTTTTGGCCATATCTTTGTCCATTTCGCATGAAAAAAATTTGATTTTTTGTGGAAATATTACTCTCTATGGTAGAAATAGGCATGAAACTTTTGATGGCAAAAAATCGCAAAAAAAATTGCATTTTCCCCCAACTTTCCACCAAAAAATCTCGATCATTCCTGCAATATCCAAAAATTTTTTACCTAGCAATAAATCTGTGCCAAATTTCATCAAAATCTGAGCGTCGTACATGGAGTACTCCCTCAAAAAATAGAAAAAAATTACCTTCACCACCAACCCTCCAAAAGCGTCGAATCCAGTGTAGGCGAAGCAGTGAGGATTCAACAGCGCCACAGGTCCACGGGCCTCTTCGATAAAGACAAATTGCTCCTTTTCCATGTTCGCTCTGTAGATCAGGACTCGATATTCATGGTGGATGACGACGATATCTTGAATGGCGTAGATGTTTATGATCTGCAAAAAAATACGTGAGAATGAGTACCACCTCGTACAGTACAGTACCAAGTGCTAAAAACACATTTTTTGAGAAGTACTGGGCTTCAAACCCATAGCATTGACGTGTTATGGCTTAATTTTTACCTCGTGCTATATAGTACCACCTCGTACTGTACAGTACCAAGCGCTAAAAACACATTTTTTGAGAAGTACTGGGCTTCAAACCCATAGCATTGACGTGTTATGGCTTAATTTTTACCTCGTGCTATATAGTACCACCTCGTACTGTACAGTACCAAGCGCTAAGAACAAGTTGTTTGAGCAGTACTGTGCACCAAACCCATAGCATTGACGTGTTATGGCTTAATTTTTACCTCGTGCTATATAGTACCACCTTGTACTGTACAGTACGAGGGGACAAAACCGGGCCCAATCGTCATCCGTTTCATTTTTTTTAATAAAAATTTCCGCTTTTTAAACCCCAACTTACATCTCCAATCAACGACGGAAGTCGGAGTTTCGTGGTCTTGCCGGTGGTCAGATTCAAATACCTCATATGGGTCTGAACAGCATCGTCACACACATAGTAAAAGTGGTCCTCGTCCACGGCGATAAAGTGCGCTCCTCTGATATGGGTCTCTAATATCGGCTGGGGCTCCGAGTCGTCGCTCAAACACTTCCGGTACACAATGAAAGCGTCGTCGGTGCGCATGTAATAGACGGATTCGGTTTGTCCGTCGTAGTAGAACGGGGCAACAGTGGAGCTGTTCTTGACCTGAAAAAAGGTGTAAAAATAAATAAAAATGACAAAAAAATGTGTTGTGGGTGTTTGTTTTGTCTCAAATTTCGTATAAAATTCCGAGGCTATACGACGATCAGTCTGTCGGGAAAATAATGAGCGCTCTTTAGCTTCGCCGATTATGTCGCTGAAGTGAAAAGTAATTTAATTTTGCCACTACACAATAAATTTCTCAGCGGCGATGCGATTTTCGGTGCGACAGAGTGCTCAATATTTCCCCGACAGACCGATATAACTTAGGCAACTGGCTCAGGACCTACTACTGGAAGATTTTAAACGGGAGTCATTGTGACGCATTTTTTGTACATAAAAGGATTTATAAGTCCCGAGGCACATACATCGGTCTGTCGGGAAAATAATGAGCGCTCTTTAGCTTCGCTGAAGTGAAAAACAACTTGATTTTGCAGCGACACAATTCATTTTCACGGCGACGTCGCGATTTTCGATGCGACAAATTGCTCATTATTTTCCCGACACACTGATGTATGGACTTAAAAATCTTTATGTGTCCAGAAAATTTGGCACTATGACATCAATTAAAAATCTATCAGTGCTATAGAAACAGCTGTAAACGGCTAGGATTACTCACTGGAGCAAGAATTGTGTCGCGAAAAAATCATGCCGCTTTTCACTTCACTAGGGAAGTGTACAAACGAACCCTCACCAAATGGCAAGTGTTATACACCATTGGAAAGCCCTTGAAAAATGGTGAAAGGTACCATTTTCATTTTTTGCAGAATGCCTCAGGGCAAAAAAATATAAACGGTTGATTTGTCCTTTAAGTAGTTACAATATCGGCTGTGGGGCAAAATAAATCTTATTTCAAAACGCTAAATGGTAAATATTGCTACTAGGTTGGCCTAAGAATCATTATGAAGTTTGGCGATTGCCAGTAGAACCATTTTACATGTGATATTTACTGGTTTTAAACACCCATAACGTGAAAAAACACTTCACTTTTTTTAATTTTGAAAAACATGTAAGTTTGATGGTTTTAACCGTAATCGACCGTTTTCTAGAAAAATGAAAGCGTTTGTAAAAGTTTAACTCAAATATTATCCTAACTGTAAGAACGCAAAATGTTTTTGCCCAAGCTAGGAATCGAACCTAGCTTGGTTTGGCTTATCAGCCTGCTCAGCAACCACTGCACTATTGAAGCAACCCTCTTCGAGAATTTTTATCCGCTCAAGAGAAAGAAAGATTTTTATTGCGAAATGACCTAAAAATAATGAAATTTACAGTATGTCGTCGCGGAACGGCATTCTGCAAAAAATGAAAATGGTATCTTGCACCATTTTTCAAGGGCTTTCCAATGGTGTATATCACTTGCCATTTGGTGAGGGTTCGTTTGTACACTTCCCTAGTCAGTGACACGATTGACGCAACGACATTATTTTCCCGACAGACTGATACTATATTATCTTCATCTACATACATAATGTTTAAAAATTTTCCCCGCTCCATGACCTACCGTAAACTTGAAAGTGTGGGTCTCAATTTCCTCCGCGTACAACTCCACGCTCTTGTTCGGCGAGATGACCATGGAAATCAGGTCTTCTTCCTTTTGCATGACAATCTGCTCCTCATCGATCTCATTTTTCTGCATTCGTCGGAGTTTCGCCGCTCGAGGAACCCGCAATTCCAGCGAGAAATCGATCGGCTTTTCATGTCCTGTCAAGTGCATTGCCCGGTGGAATAGGTTTTGGTGAACTTTGACAAAAAGATTGGCGTCGTTTGTGACGTCGTCGGGCGCTCGGCCCGCATTCACTCCATGAGCTTCGATGGCGGAACAGAGGCGAGTCAGCGAGCTGAAAGGGTTTTTATTAGAAAGTGAAAGGGAGTGGCTAACTTTTCAAATTTTTCATGAAAATCCCGCGTAAAGAATATATAGGCCAATGAATCCATGCTATCAGTCCGTCGCGAAAATAGTGAGCCAATGTCGCCGCATCGAAAAGCAATTTGCGAATTTCGATGCGACGTTGCGCTCATTATTTTCCCGACCAAACTGATACTAGCCCGTTCGCAAAGGGTTGAGAAAAACGATGTGTGACATGTTATACGATGATAAAAATTCTCAAATTGAAAAAAAATTTCCATCGTATAAGATGTCACACCTCATTTTTTTCAATTTGAAAAAAATTTCCATCGTATAAGATGTCACACCTCATTTTTTCAATTTGCAAAAAAATTTCCATCGTATAAGATGTCACACCTTATTTTTTTCAATTTGAAAAAAAATTTCCATCGTATAAGATGTCACACCTCATTTTTTCAATTTGAAAAAAATTTCCATCGTATAAGATGTCACACCTCATTTTTTCGATTTGAAAAAAATTTCCATCGTATAAGATGTCACACCTAATTTTTTTTCAATTTGAAAAAAAATTTCCATCGTATAAGATGTCACACCTCATTTTTTCAATTTGAAAAAATTTTCCATCGTATAAGATGTCACACCTATTTTTTTCAATTAGAAAAAAATTTCCATCGTATAACATGTCACACCTCATTTTTCCAATTTGAAAAAAAAAATCCATCGTATAAGATGTCCCATCTAAATTTTTTTTCAATTTGAAAAAACTTTTCATCGTATGACATGTCACACCTTATTTTTTCAAATTGAAAAAAAAATCCATCGTATAAGGTGTCACACCCAATTTTCTTCACTTTGAAAAAAACTTTTCATCGTATAACATGTCACACCTTATTTTTCCAATTTTCAAAATGAGGGGGAGAGTTCAAAAAGGGGAAGAGTTCAGAAAAGGGGGAGTGTTCAAAAAGGGGAAGAATTCATATTGGGGGAGAGTTCAAAAAGGGGGAAAGTTCTTCCGCAACGTTCGCAAAGTCGCTAGAGCGATTTTTGGCGCTTGCACTCTGTAGAAAACTCAAGATTCGAAAAAACCTATTGCGTGGTGTAAAAAGCCGAAAATTGCGCCGTGCAAAATGAACTTTTCTTCCACGCAGTGCATCATTCCATCGACTCTACAAGGACTAGTACGACTGCAATTGTAATTTGGGTCAAGTTTCATCAAACCCCATGTTTTTAAGTTTTTTTTCACTTTTTCTACAATACCAATGTCGCTACAGTAATCTTTCTGGCATTAAAATTTTTGTTGTCTCTTGAAGGACTGTAGAAAATTGACAGTAAAAAAATGTCAATTTCTCCGTCTGACCATCTTACATCACCAAAATCCCAGAAAAAGAAGCCCATCTTACATGATAAAAAATTGAATCCAATCGACAAATCCCTCGTGAGTATCAGGCTTTTCGGTCATCATTTCATTGACCATGCAAAGAGTTTTGAATCGGTCGTTCTGAGCACTCGCGAGGATCTTGGCGTCATCTACCGTAGCATTGAAGTAGAGGTGAATGATGGTATGAGCGGAGAGGTTGTTCAGGATTTTTGTTCGGATCTAAATAAAAAATGGTAAAAAATAGCAAAAATCAAGGATAAAAGATCCAAAAACGTTGCGGAGAACTCTCCCCCTTTTTGAACACTCCCCCTTTTTGAAAAGTGCAAAAATGAAGTGTGACATGTTATACGATGAAACTTTTTTTCAAATTGAAAAAATTAGGTGTGACATCTTATACGATGAAACTTTTTTTCAAATTGAAAAAATTAGGTGTGACATCTTATACGATGAAAATTTTTTCAAATCGAAAAAATTAGGTGTGACATCTTATACGATGAAACTTTTTTTCAAATTGAAAAAATTAGGTGTGACATCTTATACGATGAAACTTTTTTTCAAATTGAAAAAATTAGGTGTGACATCTTATACGATGAAACTTTTTTTCAAATTGAAAAAATTAGGTGTGACATCTTATACGATGAAAAAATTTTCAAATTGAAAAAATTAGGTGTGACATCTTATACGATGAAACTTTTTTTCAAATTGAAAAAATTAGGTGTGACATCTTATACGATGAAAAATTTTTCAAAATGAAAAAATGAGGTGTGACATTTTATACGATGAAAATTTTTTTCAAATTGAAAAAAATTAGGTGTGACATTTTATACGATGAAAAATTTTTCAAATTGAAAAAAATTAGGTGTGACATTTTATACGATGGATTTTTTTTTCAAATTGAAAAAATGCAGGTTTCCTGTTTTTATTTTTTTTCTACCCGTTCTATCGTATGAGATGTCACACCTCATTTTTTCGAAAAAAGTATCATCGTATAAGATGTCACATCTAATTTTTTCAGTTTGAAAAAAAGTTGCATCGTATAACATGTGACACCTCGTTTTCTCAATTTTCAAAATGGGGGAGTGTTCAAAAAGGGGAGAGTTCAGATTTTTTGGTGAAAATCAAAAAAGGGAAAGAGTTCCGCTTTTTTTGGGGGGAGAGTTGAAAAAGGGGAGAGTTCAGGCTCAACCATCCAAAAAAGACTGAAAAAACAAATCTTTTCTAATTAAAAAACCCTTTTTTGGGGAAAAAAATATAAATTTACCTCTCCCGGATATCTCCTCAGCATCCTCATCGCCTGTTTTCCAGTGGTTTCGCCTTGACAGAACATACTGTTATTCCAATAAAAACGGTCCTATTTAGATCACGGAAGATGTGGGCAATGGATCTGGTTGAGGTCTCCAATGGAAATTTATTTCTGTTCACAGAAAAATTTGATTTTTATTGCGTCATCTGCGGATTTTTCTGTGCTTTATTGCTGATAGACAACGTTGAAGTCTTTGATTTGTTACGTAATTTTCAGCGTGGCTTTGGGAGGAGATTTCTGAGGAGATAGATGTTCATGCAGCTGATAAAATTGCAAAAGATACGACGATTTACGAGCAACATGAAGTGAAAGACCTTCCCTTTTTTGGGCGTCTCTTCTAATTTCATTCAAACAAATATCATTCAATATCTCGGCGGTGCCAAAAACATACAAACTAAAACTTTCTGGAACTGAGAACTGGACAATTTAGATTACACTGGGTGCGGTAAAGATACATACATGCGAAATTCGTGCGCTTTGCAGGAATATCCGAGGCTTTAAGTCCAAAAGTCGGCCGGGTTTCGAGGTTTCTATGCGCATTTTTGCAGTAAAATTCCAGCCTCATTTTATAGGGTAATGCTTCCACAGAAAATCAATTTTTTCCTTGCAAAGTTTCCACTGATACGGCCAGAAAACCCTTTTTTCTCTGACCGCTCTCCGTATTTTGTGCACTCTCTCTTCGGCAAAGATCTTTGAATATCTTGGCTGTCTGTGCAAAGCGCGAGCTAAAACTTTGAGGAATTGATACGTGGTCTATGCATGACGTATGTACAAAGTTTTTAGAAAATCTGCGCGTCGCACTTTGCACTTTTTTTGTTAGGCCCCAAATTCCACAACGCAGAGAGAGAGAGTGTGGTAAGGTGAATTTTTAAATTTCCCTTGTATGGTATTGTAAGAAAACTTATGACGCTTTTTTCGTCTTTACAGCGAAAATGACACTACTGCTTAAGCAAGATTGTAAAATTCAGAAAAAATTTATACGATTTTCGAAATCAGCGTCATCGAAAACCTGCCCCCACCCTATTCAAAAATTTCTTCCAAATTCCACCAAAACCTGAGCGTTGCACTTGGAGTACTTCCCCTGTTAGAACGTTTCCTACAACAACCACCCTTCCGAACCACAATATTCTCCCAGTTTATTTAGCATTAGCCCTCTCCTCTCTTCCTTGATGTCCCTTCTTTGTGGGGTTTAATGCGTTTGATTGGAGCCGCGAGCGAACCCATAAAAGGTGCGGAAGTCGAAACGACTCCTTTCTCGGTGTAAAATCGGGAGTTTTGGCGCATTTGCAGCCATAAACCGCTGATCGACTCGCGATACAAAAGCCCTCCTCGCGAGAGGTCAGAGGTCATAAAATTGGGATTTGTAAAGATCAAGGGGCCATGTTGTTGAGGATTTTCTGGGATACAATACATCTAAATTATTTTACAATCGCTTTGAAGCAGGATTGCCGTAAAACAACGCTTTTTTGAAGCGAAATTGCAACGGAAAATCGAGGGAAATCAATGTTTTTTGATGGAAATTTGTCGAGATCGCGCCGCAGATAGGGCTCTTATGGGGCTTCGAGGAGACAGTTGTTTGTAATTTCAGCGCCACATTAGTAACGGCGACGAAACGAAATAAAAGCAAGACCTCCAACTGTGCGGTACAAGATTTTTGGAGAGCAAATTGAAGATGCGAGATGGTAGGAGGCGACAGAAAGAATATATTGAAGGCATTGAGGAGCAGAAAATTGTGGTTTATAAGATGTAAAATTTTTGATTTTTGAAAAAAAAATTTTTTGATGACTAAAAATTTTTATTGTAATTTTTTGAAATTTGATTTTTTGACTTTGGCCAAGTTTGGCCAAATTTAAAATTAAGCGTTTTTAAGACTTTCTTAAAATTTTCGTTTTGCAAAAATCGGAGTATTTTTTAAAAAAAATAAAAAAAAAATTTTTTTTTAATTTCGCCACTGAAAATTTGGCATTCTGTTTCACATATTATCAATAAAATTCCACAAAAAATCAAGCTTTTTCAATCAATCTTCGCAAAGATATAAGCCAAAAAGAGCATTTTTTCTGGCGACTCTCTTCATTTTCCATGGTCTCTCGCCTGAAAAGATCGTTGAACATCTCAACGGAGGATTCAAAGCAAGAGGTAAAATTTTCAGAACTTATTTTTGGCTCTGTAAATTGTCTTGGCCAAAATTGAAAAAAAAATTGATCAAAGTTTTTATTTGAATTGCCACCAAAAATATTGTTCATGATCAAGCAAATTCACAATAAATTTTCTAAAATTTAAATTTTAGTTTTTCCAAATTTGCAATTCCAAATACCTAAAAAAACAATATTCAGCAAAATATTTGGCTTTATTGCATTTCCCTTCCCCAATTTCTCGCCTTTCTCCCTTCCTCGTCGCTGATTGGCTCTCCCATTTTTCGTCCAAAGAGAGACGAGATGGAAGCCCCGCCCCCTTTTCGGCAAGTGGCTTTTGGCTGTTTTGGGAGTAATTTGGATAAATTTATGCGGACAAATTATTATAACGGGTTTTTTGGGCCAAGACAAAGTTTTTATGGGCTTGTCCAAGAGAAGTTTTGCGGGAAATTCGATGAAATTTTTAATTTTTTCATTTATAAAAATCTCAAAATATTTCTTTTGCCTGGGAATTACTGTTCTCTAAACATAATTCTAGGATTTTCATTAATTCTTATTATAATTTTTTTTCAATTTTTCATGTAATAATCAGATTTTTAGTAAAAAATTTTTGAAAATTTTCAAAATTAAAATTTTGGCGTTTTTTTTCAATGTAAAGTCCCAATCTTTATCTATATTTTATCCACGTAGCATATTTTTAGCATTTTCATAAAGTGCATGGACATTCGCTGCATCCCGCACTGTGCTCAAAAAGCCTCTTATTTTGCACCGTGCATTTCATTTTTGTTTGGTTTTCGCACTGTGCATCGAAATGTCGCTGTGACGTAAACAAGTTTCAACAATGTCGCTGCGACGGAGCCAAAAAATTTGCACTGTGCAAACGGCATTTTTGTGGTTTGCACTGTGCAAAACGAGAAAAAATGCACTGTGCATTTGAAATATCGCTGCGACGCAAGCTTTTCTCAACCGGAGAATTCGCACAGTGCAAACGACTTTTCCGTGTTTTGCACTGTGCGAAAAGAGAAAAATGCACTTTGCGTTGCGACAAGTGTGGGAAAAAGTTTAAAATGCACTGTGCGAAAGGGAAAAAATGTCCATGCACTTTATGAAAATGCAAATAGTCAAATCAGCAACCCACTGAATCACTTTTTTCAAAAAAAAAATCAATTTTTGGACAAAAAATTCCATTAAAATTTTGAAAAATTCCATTGCAAATTTCGAAAAAAATTTGTCATCCATATTTCCCTCAATATGCAAGTTTAACGCCCAGAAACTTCATTCCACACCCCTGTTCAACCTGAGCTACCGTAATCCCACTCATCGTTTCACAGCTTGCGTTTTTCGAATAACTCATTAATCCCAAGGAGAGATCTGTGTTTCCAATCCAATTCTATTCCTCTCCCAGCCGCAAAGGGTGCAATCCAGTTTACGACCTGTGGCGCTCTTCCGCCAATACTTTCCACAGCCGCTTCTCAACGCCGCCGAGGAGGAGCGGCGAAAGTGCGGGGGTTGACGACAAATTGGCTGGGTTCGGTGGAGAAGATCATGGTGATGCTTTGTTTGAAGTTTTGTATTGATGCGAAGTTTTGTATGGATTGGCCAGGCAATTTGAAATGATCGTATATAGAGTAGATGAGACGCATTTTAAGCTCCTCTTTGATGACTTTTTAGAGCTTGCAACTCAAATTTTGTTGATTTAGCAACTTTTACTGTGGTTTTACCAATAATTTTGAGTTATCAGTCTGTCGGGAAAATAATGAGCACTCTGTATACTATAGATGAGCTTTGCAATACGAAGGTCTTAAATTGAGTACTATCGTCTCTGATTCGCTTGCAGAGAAGTTCACCTCCACCACAGTCTGTCGGGAAAATAATGAGCACTCTGCCGCATCGAAAATCTCATCACCGCCGAGAAAATGAATTGTGTCCCGACGAAATCAAATTTTCATTCACTTTAGCGACGCAATCGCCGCAGCGACATTGTTCTCATTATTTTCCCGACAGACTGATATTGAATTTCGTGATTAAAGCATCTGACAACCCGGCGATCCAACTCACATACTTGATGAATGAATTTTTCCGACAGACTTACATGTCTTTTCTTGCCTAAAAGTTTTCTATAGTACTAGTCGCATAAAGTCCTGAGGCGTTTGCACTGTGCGTTTTGTTTTCCTTTCGCATTCGTCGCGGCAATTCCCCGTTTTTGCACTAGCGACATGCACTTTCGCGCGAGCTTGCCACTTTTCTCGCGCGACACCCGCGACAAAATGTGTCAGGACTTTATGGCGCCTATTTTCATAACAAAAAAAATATCCTATTTTCATAACAAAAAAAATCAACTAAAGACTTGAAGAGTATCATCTAAAAAATTTAATCATACTCCCGCGCCAAGCTTTTCAAGCTCTTCTTCACACTAATTTTTATAATTTTTATTATCTCTCTCCTCCTTCTTTCCCCACCAATCTCCTAAAGCGACTAAATTGACCCCTCCCCTTCCTTCCGACCAAAAAATTTTTTCATTTTCACAAATTGCCAACTAAACGCTGCTAATTACCGAAAGTCGAGTCTCACTTTCCAATAATTACTCGAATTGCCCGGAGGAATGAACGAATGGAGTCGAAAAGCATTAAACCTATTGGGTGGGGGGTGTGGTGGGTGGTGGGAACGAGCAAACGGGAGGGGAGTTGTTTGTGAAATTAGTTGGGAAATGTCATGTACGGCATGTTGAACGGCATCGTCGTATTACTTTTTTTGGGATGCTGGAAGAGCTCTACAATTCTTAAAAAAGAAAAAGTTCCTTATTTTGGCCACAACAAAGGTACCCCGCGAACTGCGCCCAAGCTTGGCACTAAAGTTAGGAAAAAAGCCTTCGACCTAGCTGGCACTGAATTA